TTTCAATTATTTATAAAAGTAGTTTTTGTTCACTATTATAAATTAAAAAAAAGAAAGAAATGCAGTTTATAAAGTACGGAAACCAGAAATGACCCGTCAGCATACCCGCCGCCAAGTGGTGGAAAAGGCGGCGCATACTAGAAAGGAGTAGTGGAATAAGGCGCCGACACGAAAAAATCCCGCATGTACGCGGTGGCGCTGCAGTCATATGGGCAGGAGGATCCGACCGGCACCGAGCGTTCCGAACGTTCCGAAGGCCTTCGGCGAGAGGCTTTGTCTTGCGGTTTGGCCGTTTCGCTGTATGGCAGCGCGAAGTGGCTCCCATTCTGAACGGATCTTTACCCCGTGTTTGCTGTCGTTTGTGGCCAATGAAGTGTCATGCCGAATTAGTATTTAATCGCGCAGCAAACGCAATGAGAGCCGCTTTGACTGCCCGCAGAATACAGCCTATCCAGAACATGCTTTAGTGGCGCCCTCTGGCGCCGTCGACACGGAGTGCGGCGGCCGTGAGCGCTCGATGAGCTCACTATTCCTCCTCTAGTTCACGGCCACTCAAGCCAGGACCTACGACGTCATGAAGGAGGTTATTTTTTGCTTGTTTTTGTAATTCTAAATTGCCTATAACTTTTAAAATAAAGCGAATTTCGCGAAAAGTTTCACTAAGTTACTGCGTTCAGTGCGCTCAGGTTCGGTGCAAATTAAAAAACAGTAAAAAGTCCTTGCAGGGCCCCTTTAAGTATGTAGAAATCCTGCTCATTAAGTAAGGTTTTTTTTTGTTTTTTGTTCTTTTTTTAGAAAAGTTTATTTTTCCAAAGTTGCGTGGGCATTTTTTGTTTGTTTTTTTCATACTTTTTATGTGGGTATCGGCGCTTGGAGCTGCATGTGGCTTTTAACCGAGTGTTCCTCTGTATAGATGGTTTCGCCGCTTAGTATCAAATTGTCGCTTTTTACCCGACGTAATAATTTAGCTGTTGGCGCCAGCCAGACTGGGAAAAATGCAGCGAACGATTCTAGAAGGAACTTGGATTTGGCAGTTGGAGCGCCAGGCATAACGACAGCTCGCCGACCATTGGGCAACAGTGTACCACGTGGGAGTGGTGAAATTTGAAGGGATTGGTCGGTCCCCAAAGAGAAAGGAGGCTCCTGCGAGCCTACAAAAGGAGTGCCGAGAGGATTCTCGGGGATTGGCTTTGATTCGATTTTGGGAGACTGGGAACAAAAGTATGGGGTTTAATTTTGGGATTTTAGCCCACTGTTCAGTTTTGTTTCGTAATAAACGTGGCCACACTGGTCACTGTAAAGTCAACCAACGTCGCAATGTGTTCAACGAAATCAAACAACCTGTAGATTTTTTTTTTTTTTTTTTTTTTTTTTTGGGGGGTTGTTATTGGGCGAACACCATCATCGGTCGTCACCATCCAAACCAGGGCGCCCACTTCCCTCGAGGTCGAAGGATGTCCCGGCAAGGAAGTTGACTACGAGTCACCCCAATATCCGTGGTTCGAATTTTAGAAGCGCTGACAGAGCGCTGCTAAAGCGCTAACCGAGCGGTACATCACGCGCATCACTGGGCGCCATATTTGTGGGTGTGTCTTAGAGCGCATGCTCAGGACGAGCCCACATTAATAGGCTGCTAAGACCGGCAATCTTGAGGGTGCGGAATGCACGTTACAAAAGTACTGTGGAAGCTCGCCATCAGCACGCGCTCAGCAGTCGCGCACACAGCTATGGCCGCCAGTGAATACTTCCTATAGGAAGTATTCACTGGCGGGCCATGGCTGTGTGCGCGACTGTTTGAGCGCGTGCTGATGGCTAGCTTCCAGAGTTCTTTTGCAACGTGCATTCCACACCGTCAAAATGGCCAGTCTTAGCAGCCTATTTATGGGGGCTCGTTCTGAGCATGCGCTCTGGACAGCACCCACAAATATGGCGCCCCGTGAATACTCCTTATAGGAAGCGCCAAATGAGCGCTCCTTCAAGCGCTCACGTAGCGCTAAAGTTAGCGCTCCGCTGTATGTGTGAACCGGCCTTAAAGCCCTGCTCGCCATTGCAGCAATCCTGTTTTCGACTCACAAGTAGTTTGCGCCAAACAAAATAATATTGCTTTTCAATTAGCGTTATTTCGCGGTTTTCATCTATTCGCATAAACTTAAACTAAACAAAGAACTATAATGCTCGACGTGGCACGCAGTGGAGTCACTAGGGTCAGCGGTACCCGGGGCGGTGGCTACACCCCCCCCCCCCCCCCCCCCCCGGCTTGTTGCGTCGCCCGCCACAAACACCCCCCCCCCCCCCCCCCCCCCGCACCCCCCTTGTGACACCAATATAGTCCGTTGCAACAGTAATGTATGATCTCTATGGTTGCAACCTAAGACAAAGGGCGAGGGTAAGATGGGCCGGGGAGGAGGAAGCAGAGGGAACGCTAAGAGAGAAAAAGGTTTTCCCCCATCTCTTCTCCAGCGTTCCGTCTGCGTCCTCCTCCCCGGCCCGTCTTACCCTCGCCCTTCGTTCTTAGGTTGCAACGGACTATATTTGCACATCCGACATTCCTAACTCTTCCCATCTTTCTAAACGTCCGGCGTGTCCTAACGTCAGAAACCGGCATTTTAAAAGTTAAAAATGAGGCGTTGCAAAGCTGAAGTGACTCAAATTGAAAAACATGCATATTTACAATAATATTATCTCTTCTGGAAGGCTCAGCATCCGTTGCATTCATTTTCGCGCACGAAACAATGACTCGCAGTGAAAGTAAGAACATTGTTACCCCGCCTTCATTTCAACAATACACACGTGCAGGCTTGCACTGATAATGCCTCAAAACCGACACTCGCGTATCGCAACTGCGCTGACTACGCCCGCTACTACCTAACCACTTCTGCAAAAAAAGTCACTTTAAAATTACTGGTAAACACAAAAATGGCACCGATACAATTGTAGAATATCATCTTAGTAAAAACTATGTTTTTTTTTCTTTCGCTCAAACTGTGTTAACAAGGTATTTTTGCCGAATCTTTAGAAAAGTTCGGCGAAAATTCAGCTTTTGCCGAATCTTTAGAAAAGTTTGGGAAAAATTCAGCTTTGTCGAATCCCAAGATTCGGCGCCGAATTTTCGATTCGGCAAAAGTTCGACCCATCACTACTATGTAGTAGACCTATTGCTAATTTGCCCAAGCATCAAGGAAAATGCAAGAATGGTGTTCCACGCGCCACACGCGCACACCTTTCCCGTATAGAAGATTCGAAGTGAATGACCAAAATAAAGCATTGACAAACGCACGTGCAAGATGCAATTTGTTTTAGACATTTGCTTTAGAAAAGGTTACTACTGCTGAGGCCAGCACTTGCGGCGCGTGGAACACCAATCCCTGCATTCCCCTTGACGCTTGGGTAATTTAGCGATAGGTCTATTAGCTGTGTCTATTTATCTGAAGAACCAAATTTTAGGCAAATCAGCAACCATTGCAGACCACCTTAGTGCCCCTTTAAAGGGGCGGTGCAACGATATTCAATTGGAATGTTTTTCACTTTACACGAGCTTACTGGCACTAGTGGGACTCAAGGATACTCGCACGCAACGCCACTGGTCAAGAAACTCCTTTGTTGATATGTAATTTGAAGGACAAAAGCGAGCGTGTTCTTTTTATCTCCCCTTCGCAAAACCTGATGACGTAGCTGGGCGGTAGCAGTACCGCCCAGTGACGATATTTGAATGCGGCTCATAGATTGGACCCGAGCATGGCGTTGACACTCGACTTGGGCTCGTGATAATCGATAGCTCGAGAAGCATTCGGGTAGTGTCCTGTGTCCCAATCGCAGCAATGACGACAACAGCCGAACCATAACAATGTTTGGAACTCAGCGCGTGTCCTGTGCCTTGCCAACCCCAGTGCATGGCTATGATCAACATTGGCGGCATATGATCGGCTCCAGATCACGTGGCCGCTTGTTCTGGCTGCGGGTTGAGGGGGTGAACTCTGCTCGTTTTTCTTTATTTTCTGCGACTTCGATTGCATGTGGTGAAAAATGAACGGGTATTTCACAGGTCATTAACGTCAGGGATCTGTTCTAAGCAGTATTTGCGCAAAATTCAAAAATCGTTGCATCGCCCCTTTAATGTAAACATATTTGTTGTTGGACTAGATGGTGATGAACGTTTAAAGTTGCTGGGCAAATTGGTAATGAAGGTTTTTTCAGTGCCAAAAGAACTCGGCCAACTTTGCCCTCGAATTGCTTCTGGAAGCAAAAACAAGCGAGGATATGGAAATTCTTACGTTGAGCAAATAGAAAGGTACACCAATAATCGTTTGAGGGATCGTGCGCAAAATTTAAAAAACAAATGATGGGGCACATTTGCCCACGCACTGTGGGGCCTGCAAATGTGAGCCATGCTTCGGCAATACTAAGATTCGAGGTAGAAGTAAGAATCAAAGAGCACACGAACTGCAAGAGGCATACTTTATCAGGAAGAGGGGGCCCCAATGCGTACGGCGACACATCGATTTATGTAAACACGTTCAAGGGTGTGTATCCCGGCGCATGCATGGTCTATGTGACAAAAGGTGTATCAATATATATACTATATGTGCTTCTATCTTCTTTTTTCAAATACAGTTGTGAGTAGTGCCCGTGCGAGTGTTCTCTCTTGTTTGTCTTTTCAGCACTTTTAACCATGGTTCAAAATTCCATGTGATGGGCAGATTTTAAATAAACCGTTTTACAAATCTTCAATCCATATTTTTCTTCCGCTACATTTTTTTAACTGTATTACATTCTTCCAAAGCATCAGTGACAATAAAAAGAAAAGTTACGATGTTGGAGTTGTCAGCAGCCCTTCGAGGTATGCAGGAAATGTGTGTGTGTTTCGAGGAAGTATATATGAGACACCTGGGTGGATGATTGTTGCTTCCAACGCCACTATACGATACTGCCAGGCAAGACAAGCGGACGTGTGCACACAGTACGTCTTGCGCCACATAGAAGCAAAACACAAAACGAAGTGCTGATGGGATAAACTGTTTATTTTATGCAGTTTGCTGGCAACAAGTGTCAAGGAAGTGAATACATCGGCTGATAAGACAGACAAAAAGGGGACAGAACAAGAAAAGCTTATATTTGCACGGTTATTAGCCCATATAACATGTATGTATATATACCTAAGCATTCATGTATATTTATTAAACATATGCGCACCAATCTAAAATACATTTTAAAAAATTTCTTCTTCTGCCGTGTTGATATAACAGAAGTTCAACAAGCAAATTAAGAAAAAAAAAAGTAGACTGCAAGCATGGCAAGCAGGATCAGAATAATGTACAAGAAAGTCACAACCCGTAGTGTTGCGACGATACGACAAATCTAGAACAAAAAAAAAGGTGCACTGAAAATCACATTTTACAAAAAAGCGAAACTGAAAAACTACGTACTCTCGACTTACAGACACTTACGCATACAACAACCTTGCTTCTTTACAAAATATTTACAGGCACTAAAAACAAAAAAAGTGAATCGTCACAGTATCTTTTTTTTTTTTCACTAGCGCTTTTGCATACATGTGCATTTGTCCCGGTCGTGACAAAATGAAAAAAGAGAAAAGCCGACAAATGCAGAGAATTCGCAGTGCTTTACAAGGCGCAAACTTCTTGGATCCTACATTCTGCTTGGACCAAAGGAAGCGCTTGAGATCCAAAAAAACACTACCAACGTCGGTTCTGAGACATTCTCACTTCCAGCACAGTGCCAGTGTCGAAAGTTGATAAATTAGTGAAGCGTCCGTAATGGCAGACAAAAAGTTAATGAAGATGAGGTGACACAAACACGCTGCACCTTGAAAGGTAAATTGTTTTCCAACACTACAATGCTGGAAAAAGAAAAAGATGTGGCAATTTAGCACTAAACTTATCATTTGAAAAAAAAAGGAAATAAAGTGCATCACACTCTTCACAAATATGCACGGTAAGTTAAACTTTCCCGAACAGAACCCGAGCGCTAAGGCAAGTGGGCACCGTGTTAAAGTCGTGTGATCTTTTCTTTGCAATTACATAAACTGTCGGGCTTGTAGGTACGCCGTTTTACGTCGAACGTTAAATTGTGCCACGTTTCGAGAGAGCACCGCTCCACATTGTGGAACTGGTCCGTGTGAAGATGTAGGGTGTACAGCCAAATGTTTGAAATAATTTACTAGGACCATCCCCAAAAGGAGCACCTGCCACTGCGCCAACAAACTTGGAAAGACAAAGAGTCAAGCGCGGTCTCGGCTGCAAGGAAGGAATGCATGCCACTGTCGATGGTAAAAGATGCCTGCCTAAAACTATATAAATAAAAACAACTTAAAAAACATGACAGGGCTGCTTTTGTATGCTGCTATTGCTTAGCACGGTCACCACACGCGTGCCCGTCAACAACACAACTCTGTTGACCAAAAAGTTGCCACCCAAATCATACAACAGCTTCTGCAGAAAAAAAAAAAAAAACTTATTCTTCAAATACATGCCAAGAACCATCTTTCAACTTCTATAACTACTCCTCTCCAAAAACTGCCGGGCATCGCACTGCAGACCGCAACATTTAATTGCTAGCACCGATCAACGTGCACTGACCTCTTTAATAATATTATAAATGACAATGGTAATGTAATGAGCCTGGTATTCAAACGAGAGTCCCACGTTTTTAGATTCCGCCTTCAAAATCGCTTGAGAAGATGGAGGTTAGATGGGTTCTCTAGATTTTTCTAGGGAATTAGTGAGAGATTCATCCAGATCTCTTCTAGGAAATTACAGCTTGCAGTACACAATCTGGGGAGGTTGTGGGGTGAAAAAAGAAATAAAAGCAATTTTGTTTAGGAAAAAGAAAAATAAATTTCAACAGATGAAATTCAACAGGACCATTGAATGTCACTGCATGAAAGGGTTGTTGACAAAATCATGACAAGGGTGTGACGATGCGAGGCTTGTCCACGTGCAAAGTACCACGAGTGACACCCCTAGGCAACACTCTGTAAAGTCATCTGGGGATGGGTAGGGAAAAACGGGGAAAGGCAGGCAAGGTTGCCGAATGTTAGGAGCACTGTACTTCGAGTTGAACGTTCTGGTGAGGTGCGGGAGAGCACGACGATGAAGACGATGTTGGGGGCTGCGAAACCGGCACGGTTGGGGTCATCGACGACGCAGGGGTGCCTGAAAAACAAAAATGGATGCACATGATGCTGCAATGGGACCATTGTGATGTTACACGGTACGAAACTAAAGTGTTGTACTGCAAATCTTTTTCAACTAGAACCACCAGGAATGAGGAACACCTTGTTTCGCCCCAGGATAAAAAGAGCATCAGTTAGAGCTGTCTGCTTAAATTGAAGGAGACAAACTCGTATAGGACATATTGCCCACCATCTAAATACTGAAACATAGCCTACTTGAATTCTCTGCTCACAGATAACACTTAACATTGCGCAATGCACGGTGGTTACAGTAGAACCTCATCAATCTGTTGGACAACGAAAAATATTCGCATCAAGCGGGTGCTAAGTTATATGAAAAGCAAAGAAAATGCCAGGAGTCAAGTGCAAAATTTTGCTGCTCGTGGTTGAAACGTTCCGATTAAAAACACAACAAGATTACGCGAACTAAACCTTTATGTGGGCTTGCCACATTCGGTAGTTTGCGGCCCCCGAACCCACGTGGGGTTCGGGAGCCGCAGAGATCACCATAATATGGTGACAACTCACTCTGCGGGCTCTAAGCATCCTAGAAATCTTTAAATCACGACGATGCGCCGCTGATTTTGTTATTAAAACAGCAATCGAAGATTGAATACACCGAGGTCATCGCAGAGAATGGGAAGAGCTTTTCCCGAAACCAGAACCACTGTCAGCCAATAGAATGCGGAAGATCCTTGCGTCTCTGACCGGCGGACCCGCGGAGTGATATCTTGAATCCGTGCAGCTCGTCGCCCGGATAGCCCGGATGTAGCCCGAACTTTGGACGCCCAGACAAAGTCGATGGTCATCGTAGCCATCGCTTCGAGTTATGGCTCTCGCTAACTTGTCGCCTCTCGAGGAAGAAATGCTTCGACGAACATTCGACATGGGATCCATCTCTTATGATGCAACACCGTTGCGTGCTGTCGTAAATTCGAGCGCAGCAAACGGTGGGCCACGTGCATCTCAAACAAAAGGCACCTCCAATCTACGGATGATAGAAAAAGCATGGACTCGTGGATGATGACGGATCACATATCGCAAAGCACGCTTGGAATTCACCTGCATCGCTGACGGAATCTGCACGAGGAAGACCTATGCGATGAGTCAGTCCAGCGAGCGCTCGCTCAAGAGCAGACGACCGGACACATCACTTCAGCGGAAGACAAAAAAAAGAAATAGTATGGTGTTTTGGAGACAATTACGTATTGCAGTATTACGTTCCCTCTCCACAAAAAATTAACATTTTTCTCATACTCTCGTCTGCTCTTATCATCTACAAAAGCACGCACATTTGACAAGAACAGCGTTTGCAATCTCCACGAAACGTCGCGCTTTCATTTGTCACATGTAGTTCTGGTTGCCGGAAACACGCTCCTCCCATTCTCTGCAATGACCTTGATGTATTCGACTTTGATTGCTAAATCAGCCGCGCATCGTCGTGATTTAAGAATTTCTAGGATGCTTAGAGCCCGCAGAGTGAGTTATCACCATAATTAGGCGATCTCAGGAACTTCCTGAGGGTTCCTTTAAGTAAAGCAGCAGACAAAGATAAACGAATGGATGACACATCCTAGAGCAGAAGCACAGCCAGGCTGGTTATTACTTTCACCCTCGCACCTTGCCCCTGAGACACTGGGTTTAGTCACAACCTCTTGCCCCCTTCAATAACACTGCCTACGATTATTGAGGTTCTACTGTAAGTAGAAATATTCTGAGGCCCACAGACAAATACCCAAGTTCTCTCTAAGCTCGTGAGTTCTGCACAACACATTTGCCTTCAGTCAAACTATAGCCAGTGACAGGCAAAGAGTTTGGGGGAAGCTCCTCCCGCCTCTTTCCACTTTAGCAGAGCAAACGCTGGAAAGGAGGTGACCTCCTCTGCAGCGTTCACTCCGCTAAAGTGAAAAAAAGGTAGGGGGAGCTTGTCCTGAATTCCTTAACTGTCACCGACTATAGACAGCTTTACTGGAACAAGATAGGACACAATCTTGAACAACCAGGAACATTCTTTTCCGAATAGAGAACTTGTTGCTGTGTCCGAGAAAGCTTTCAAACCACCTCTCGAGATTGAATGCAACGCAATCTCATACCACCCGGGAAAAAAGGGCAATTTCTGAGCTTGTCCATCTCAAGAGTAATTAAAATAAGAGCACCGACTTGACACAACAGAAAAAACGATTTCATTAGATGTTACGCCTCCTATGCAAGAAGCATCTTCTGTGGTTACAAAGCAAATGCAACGTACAACCTCAAGTCAATGCCATTTGTCAGGATTGTCGGTATAAGCTTTGTGGAGAAGGCCGCAGTTTTTGTTGCACATGAATGTGTCCCTGAGAACAGACCACGATTCTAGGAGTTTTTGGGGCCCCCATCTATCCTCCCTCGCCAAGGTCGTGGCAACCACGAAGTCAAAAGAATGACCCATTGTCCCTGTATTGCGGGTGAACACTGTTCAACTCTCGGTGAAAATCGTTAGCATGATCTCTTTGTAATTACTGAAAATGCCTCCTGCATGGGAGGCGAAATGTCTGAAGAAATTGTTTTTCCTGTTGTGTCAAGTCGGTGCTTTTATTTCAATTATGACGTCTCCCGGCTTTTGGAGTATTTTTGCATCTCAATAGTAAGCAACACCAGAAGGACCCTTTGGACGTCGGCACATTCCGAACTCGAAAACGGCGTGCCTCCTCTGCAGGGCGCATTGATGCAGACGACCGTTTGTACACTATAAACTCATCATAACGGACCTTGACAGTGACGAAGATTTTGGTCTGTCGTAAAAGTAGCGTGCAAACAGAGTATGCAGTTTTAAAAAGTGAGTCTGACAAAATGAGAACGGATATTAGTAGGGGCGTGCGAATATTCGGAATTTCGAATATGAATCAAATGTTTTCCTTATTTGATACGAATTCGATTCGAGAATAGCATCTTCGGAATATCCCCAATATTTGGCCACGGTCGAACATTCAAAAAGGCTATGAACATTCGGACAGAACTTTGAACATTCAGGTAAATTGGAATTAATATGCATGCCACGCATGCCCTAAAAATTATGAAGTATCGCAGGATGTTTATTCACCGAAATCTACACAAAAAGCACTCATTATCTCTTCTGTATCAGCTGTCTCCGTTTTGCATAATTTCTGCCCCACAAAACAATTTTTTTTTTAACAATCAAGTTGTATACTTTTTTAGTGATATATTTTATGTATTCTTTGTCTAAAAACATAGAAAAAATCAATAAGCTCATCTCTATAATGTTTTCTCAAAGTATTTATATATGTTTGGAAATTAAAAAGGTATGGAACAATAGCAAAAATGTAAAAAAGTTCCAGTAAAAAAAAAAAAGCAGTTGCTGTTGGACATTGGGCACTAAAGATCCAATTTTATGGTGCAAACATAATCTATCTACCCAAAACATCACACACAGAAAAAAAAAAAAAAGTTACAGCCACGCGTACTTTTTTTTTTTCTTGTTAAAAACACAACCTATCACCGCAACTTTTTTTTTTTTTTTTTTAATATTTGTGTATTTCAGAAAAGGGGCATTTGCAATATTTGGTCTCCATTTTACGGAAGAAAAAGGAGACTGGAGATTTTATTTCCCATAAATAAACAGATGGGTGTTAAATCTGAGTAAACAGGCTTAAACAATATAATCTGAAGCAAGAAAACAAAACGTGGTTAGGTGGCGCAAGTCACCGTCCAACTTCCACTTTGCATCCATTTTTCCGTCTATCTATCCTGTTTTAGAGAGCCTTGATTTAAAAGAGGAAGCAAGCGAAACTGAAATTACGGAGACTGCTCCAGCGCAGATTGGTCATAAGTGTGCATGTGTTGTGTTGTTGCGTGGAAAGAAGGCGAGCAAACAAAAGAGCGACGACACCTGCCCTGCCTGCCCGATCCCGATCAACGCTTTAGTCTTTTCGTCACCTTCTCGCAGTTCAAAATTCAAACGCGGCTATTAAATGGTTGGAAACCCTCTCAAATCTAGGCACACTATTTTTCCGCATTGTTTCGTTTCGAATTGCGGCGCTTGCGGTTCCAAAAGAACGACGACGATAACTCGGCTGGTTTCATCGGCGTGGTTAACGTAGTTTTCTTTGTGTGATCGTGCAGTCGCCGATTTCTGTGAATGCGACAAGTGTGTTCTACATCGGCGCTTCAATTTGAAACGAGGGGCTTTACTCGTGAAAAGAATTAGGCATGGCGCGGAATTCCGGCTTCCCAACAATTCCTTTCTGGAAGCAGCGCAAACGGGATGTTTCGGTTGTGATCCAAGGGAAGATTGCGTCACAATCGTGAGTAAATCTGCATGCTATAAAGTTTGCGGCGTTCGTTAATTTTCTTCTTTCTAACCTGCGCGTAAGATTTTTGTGGAATGGTAGGACCAAGAGGTGTTTCTCGCATGGTCTCTCAATATCACGGCGCTTACATTGGGAGAAAAAACGGCTTTTTTGTCAGCTCCGTGCCGACCGCGCGTCTTTGGCCGAATATATTGAATATTCGAGTGACCGAATACTAGGAATTCGATTCGCAAATCTAATTTTTCGGGAACTTTCTATTCGATTCAAATTCGTATATTCGAGTATTCGCACACCCCTGAAAAAACACAAAAAAATGTACATACACACAAGGCAAGAACCAAAAAAATTATAAATGCAGGAGCACCCTACCTATTAACTTAATTCTATTTGTTTCTCTTTCAACTCGTTTAACATCATTGACCTCTTTGTGTACTACATCTGTCTCCGGCCACGCAGTTGTTGCATTCCTGTACATGTGTTGCTATTTCAAAATTGGGAGTTTTGATTTTTACGTTTTTTTATGCTCAGTTAGTTTATCATTCAAACACCTGGAAGTTTGCCTTACACGCTAAAGGTATCTCATACACGACTCCTTCCTCACCAGGTACCGATCTCTCTTCATGGGCTTTCTGGAACCTCTTTCTTTCTCTTGGAAATGAGATAAGGTTGCCCAACTTGAAATCCGTACTGAAAACCATATTTACACCAAAGTTTTTCTGTATAAGCTTTTACATTGTGAGAAATCACGTGGAAATATGGCACAACTACTTTTGGTTGTCTCAAGTTTTTTAAGGAAATCCCTAATGGTAGCAGACATGTACAAATTACTCAAAAACGGTAGTTAAGTTAAGTTACTGAGTATCGACACCAAAAGTAATTGGAGTAGAGTAGAAATTACGCATTCGTAATAGTAATTGAGTAAACTACTAACTACTGTAAAAAGTAGCGAATTACTTTGAAGTTAGTTTCGAAGTTACTTTTTTATATTTTTGTGGTAGCAAAATGAGCAGCAGTTCTGATCAATGAAAAACCCTGCGAGCCTAAAATAAATACAGTCTATTTATGGCTTGCGTTTTCGCCAAAATAGTTCATTCGCTCGCAAAAGGAATTGACTTTCAAAGTTCTTGATAGAAGAGTTTTCCTCTTTTCCGTCTAAAGACGTCCCCAGCCAAGCTAAATAGACGTTCCACCGACGGGCTGGATGGAACGGCAGCTTTGAATTTCAGAAACAGGCTGTGCAGGGTCGGGTAAGCGAGTGTCGGTATCTTAGGTGTCCATGACGAAACATTAGAGGTTTGCCTCGGGTAGAGGGTCTTTTATAACAAACTTTCCTCCTTTTTTTCTTTTTTCTTCGTCAAGTTGAGATTGTTATAACTGGCCCCTCTTTATTCCGACGGCGTTCTGAGAGTACGCTGAGCGAGTGCACCAGACAGTCAAGGGTTCAAGTCTCGCGCAACGACGATGAGATCATCCGGACGACTGCACGTTCCGTTGTAGTGCTAGTGCTACGCTACTGAAAAAAAAAAAATTGTTTTGGTTTAGCAGAAGATGAACCGAAGTATACTTTGCCGCTGACGCCGGGCCTAACAAAAAGATCTCCCAAGGGTAACTCGCAATCCTCGCCGGCGACTGCAATATTCTGACGCGCCTGAATCGTTTTTAACAAAGAGGTCTCCCAGGCATGGATGCTCGAAAGGACGCGAAGAATTATGTGAACAAGCATCGTCGCTCGTATGAAGTTGCAGCTGGAAGCGGAAACGTGCTCCCATGAACGGATTATCCGTGTCTGCGTTTGTGCGCGGGGGAGTCCGGCTTTGCAAAGGCGTATGCGCTGACGACAAGGCGACAAGGCGACCATGGGAACAGGCGCCCAGCTGCGAGGTCATTCCAGTGGCGCCTCCCGTGGAACGTACCACTTGAGTCAGAACTCACTAAAGACAGACAACACGAAAACAACAACTCTCAGAGTGTACCCTTCTTTCACGGTTGCAGCTGGGAACGCGGCGCCTGCGTGCATTACCGGATTAGGTCAATACCCGACCGAGGCTTGTTAAGCATCTCTTCCCTCGTTCGTGCGTGTCGGTGTTATGTCTTGGCTGCTCGTCGTCACCTTGGTCCAAGGACGCCTTCCCGAACAAGGGGGCCCCTTGCTCGGGAATGCCACTTCATCTGCCGGCGTCTTATTCATTTCTGAGCTCAAACCTTCGTAATGGGCAAAATTAGCCCTATATAATTTGGAAAGTAGTTAGTAATTTGAGTAGAAGTTACCTGAAAAAAGTAGTTAAATTAAACTACTAATTACCCAAATCAAGTTGTAATTGAAAGTTACCAAGTTACTCGAAAAAGTAGTTAAACTACAGTAGTTTGAGTAGAGTAGTTGAACTACGTCCAAGTCTGAATGGTAGTATATTATAACCGAACGTACGTTGTAACGGAATCTGCAATAAGTGGAGTTGTTCAATAGCAAAGACAGGAAAATCAACCAAAATTCACAAATCGGTATGTTGTTAACAGAATGTCTGTTATAACAAGGTTGTACTGTATTGGGGCACCCAGCCGTCTGCTTCAAAAGTGTAAAAGAAAACCCACTTGATTCCTTTTTCCGAGCACGCTTGCGTCGCCGGTCGATGACTGCCACTTCGGCCTTGAGGGAGAGGTACACCTTGCGCAGCTCCGTCAGACGGTCCTGCAGCACGGATATCCGCTTCTCCGCATCCAGTCCCTCGTCTGCAAGGAGAATTCCAACTCTTAACTAGGGATGGGCGAATATTCGGTTAATACGAATAGCCAATCGAATTCTGTTCTATTCGGTATTCGCTTCGAATCGAATTTAAGTATTCGATAAAATCGAATTATTCGACAATATCGAATTATTCGACAATATAGAATTATTCGACCTTTCGAAATACAGTCAAACCCGACTATATCGAACCCGTTTACATCGAATTATTTCTTATATCGAACAATTGTTGTGCACAGTAATGTTACAGTGATAATATATAGCAAAAACTATGGTTGCATCGAACAAAAATAGCAGCCGCTACCGATATATCGAACTGCCAAGAGCGCCGTTTTGCTCTGCAAGCTGGCTTTCCCCCAACGCGCAGCCGCATTGGGGGAAAGCCAGCTTGCAAAGCACGTTAACTTTTTTTTTTTTTTTTTTTTCTTCGGGCGGCCGCGTCGACTGTTCAGAAAAAAATAAAATATATCTTTTGCGGAGAGACGGTGCTCCGTGCTCCGTCCGCAAAAGAGAATATTATTTTTTCTTCCAAATTGACGCGGCCGCCCAGAGAGAGAAAAAAAAGCCAGCTTGCTTTGCTAGTTGGCTTCCCCCAACGCACCACCTGTTTTAGGGGAAAGCCAACTTACAGAGCAAAACGGCGCTCTGCAGGAGGTGCTCCCGTTGGACGTGCTCCGTGCTCTCGGCATATTTCGGCGCTAATGCGCGAATATAGAAGGCAGCGGCCCAAGAATTTTGGAGTCCGTCGATAGCGTAGAAAAATATTGTTATCGCGGATGCAATGAAGAAAAAGCAGCAGAAGATGCAAGACTACTTCATTGTGTAATATTTCAGCAGAAAGGTGATTTTTGAGAGTCAAGTTCATTAAAACTTTTATATCTAATTACCCGCTATATCGAACTGGTAGACTTTTTTTGCAAGTTCAATATAAACGGGTTTCACTTACTCTGGCTTGGATTTACGGCCAGGTGGCGCAAGCTTCCGACCGTTTCGTGCTACCGAACTCAATACACTTGAAATTAACAATTACAGTATATCAAATACCAAATAAGGGCAAATATAAAACTATAGTTTAAACATATTTTGTGGTATTTTTTGCTAGTACTATTCGAACTATTCGATTCGAAATTATTCGACCAAAATCACTATTCGCTTCGAATTCGATTCGGACCCAAAATCCTCTATTCGCCCATGCCTACTCTTAACCCTTTGACGGTCGTCGCCGCAGCTGTACGGCGACAATTACATGCCTGAAAGTGCCTGCATAAATGCAGAACTGCACGCAACATGGGAGGTGTTGCCATTTGTTATGCCTTCGGCAAAACCGTTGAATATTGGCATGGCATTTTCGCATTGCCGAGTTATTTATAGTTTTCAAATCAGACGCTCTGTGCATGTGACGCTTACTTAGCATGCCAGCCGTCCTGGCGGTAGTGCCAATGGGAGCACTGACTCTTCCGAATCAGGCTTCCTAAGCTACTAGAAATTAAATTCAGAGGATTAGAGCTCTTTATCCAACGGAGAAACTCTATAAGGTACCTCTGGATAGAAATCTGAAGCCGCTGGAATGCGCCAAAATGAAACCAAATGGAAGAAAGGGGGACAACTTTTCACATTCAATATTTTCATTTGATACTTCTAAACCTAAACAGCTTGCAAGCACTGTACGTGCTCCAGCTAGATAGTTAAAAAAAGCCTGCGCTTTGACCCTTTCTCAATACCATTTCTTTGCAAACAAAACCGGACCACTAGGAAACATCTTATGGAAAAAAAGCTCCAACATCAAAGGGTTAAAGGGGCCGAGCAACGACGTTGGGTAGGAATGTTTCTCACTTTACGTGAGACCCAAGTGTGCTCGCACTGACCAGGGAGCTTCTCTGTGACCGCAGAATTCGGAAGATAAAAGCGGACGTTTTCTTACAGTCCCTCCTTCGCAAAACTTGATGACGAAGTCGTAGAAATTGTGTTGCTGATATTGTCAACAATGGTATCTCCAGGATTTCGTCATAATTGTCCCGCAGCTCATGTTCCAGATCGTTTTTGTACTAGTACCTTGCTAGCACTCGAGTAACAGCCTGCTCATCTCATTAAGACGTGGGTGTTCATGTCACCTCTGACCTAGCATGCAACTACTCGTATGAATCCTTTTTACAGCACCAACTATCAGAAGGCACCTAATTTAATAAATTTCAAGTGCTACAGGAAACAATTAGCACACCCAAGTCTCTCAAGGTATGCCACTAGCACAAACTCCATCGGGTACAAACTCACCGAGAGGGTGGTCGAAAGTGAACTTGGACGGTCGATGACAGGTGGTGCTGGCTGCGGTGGCACCGAGAGAACACATGCCTGCCGACATCGGAGCGCCGCCACCTTCCGAGATCTGCGATCCTGCCAGAAGCTCTGCGGAGAAAAAAACGAAAGAACAGATGTTTGTGCAGTGTTCATTGTATCCCTAAGGGGGAGTGGTGGTCTTGAAACTTTCTTCCTTATCTTTTGGCCAAGCCCAATGAAACAGCAAAGGCTTGGTAAGACTTCTGTGCTGATTTCAAATACAGTGCAATCCCCTTATAACGATACCACATATAACCACGTACTGCTTAAAACAATCTGTTTCAATAGTTTCTTGTTACCATTATAAAATTGCACTGTCTCTATTATTATTTTTAATTAGTAGGTAAGTTCTCATGATCTTCAAACTCTGGCCCAAACAATCTCCAAAATCTCGTCTAAAAACATGCTTTTCGTGTAAAGCTTGTGAAATTATGAGGTGCTGGAGAAAACCAGCCTTCTGCATTAAGTCCTTATTTCAAACTCTTTTTGTGTGCGTTCGCCCCGTTGAAAGGCATGCGGGAAGTGCCTCAGCACGCACCTCGTATCGCTGCATCTCAGTGTTCTTCCGCAGCGAAAAGGCCGTCTGCTTTCAACACCGCCACCATGGCAACAAATGCCGAATGAACTCTTCGGAACGTGCGTGTATCACTGGGGAGCGTGTTAACCCTCCCCCCAGCCTGCATTCACACCACTTTGCGGCGACAGTCTGCGGCTGCTCATTACAGAACTATTAAATTTTGGATAGCAGACGGCGTTTGGAAAATCACCGTTCGTTGCCATGGTGACAGCGATGAAAGCAGACAGCCTTTATGCTGTGGAAGAACACTGCGGCGCAGCAATACGAGGTGGGTGCTGAGCCAACACCACCTGGACAGAAGGCCTCCACACGCGTCATCATAGTCAGATCGATCGAGGTGAGAGATTGGGCACGGGTGCTGCGTCACTGTTCAGCTGCGGCTCATGGCCAATCAGCGCGTCGAAGGTCAGGCTCGGGTCCAATAGCCGACCGAGTGCGATCCGACTAGAAGAAGAGGAAACCATGCGGAGGCCTTCTGTCTAGGTGGTGTTGGCTGAGCCCCTTCCCGCATGCTTTTCAATGGGTGAAACACAAACAAAAAGAGTTTGAAATAAGGATTTAACGCAGAAGGCTGGTTTACTCCAGCACCTCATAATTTGGCAAGTCTTACACGAAAAGCATGTTTTGAGACAAGAGTTTGGAGATTGTTCTTTTTTTTACAACATGGCCCAAAGTTTCAACTTGCCAATAAATTTATATAAAAAAGATCAAAAAGAAAATGAAAAAAACAGAAACCAACTCAAGCAAACCACACTACTGTCATCAACACCATCAAGAACATATTCATTGACGAAGCTGAAGGGCTCAAGTTCAGGCACGAGGCCCCAGCCAACAACTCTCTTTAATTTTTAGACCTTCGGCTGACCTGCAAAAGTAACCGCTTATGCTGGATGTACTTGGTAAGATCACAAAAGAGACTTCTCCAGCACAATTTAGCTCGCATGAAACTTGTAAAAAGAGGAACTGTTTCCCGTTGTTTTAGCGCGGCCCTAAACAAGTCCTGTTTTCATTCAGCAGCGGAGAGCATTGATGTGCAAGCATTACGGCTCAAAGTTTCTGGTTTCCCTACGTCCATCGTATCAGATTTGGCTGAATGCATGTTCAAATCTAACCAACCAAGAGAGAGCAGAGAGAAACAACACAGACCTGCAGCCGTCCCAAACATGCATCGCATCTCTCACAGCTTCAAGACAGTCGCATCCCAGTATGACGTCCGGGTGGTGCTATCCACTCGAGACAAGCTAAGATCCTGCCCCAAAATAAACTCGCAGCGTGACAAGGCGGACAAAAGCAGCGCGGGGCATGCCCACAAGAACATAAACTGTGACTGTAGAGTTGTGTATGAGGCACCGTTGTCATGTGGAGAAGTTTATGTGGGCCAGACTGGACGATGCGTCAACATCAAGCTCAGGGAGCATGAACTTTCTCTGAAATACTCGCTGTCAGGTCAACTAGCCTAACATGTGAGGTACTGTGGGTGCGCCCCATTGTTCGCTAAACCAGGGATTCTGAGGCGGTTCCACGACAAAAGAACTGGCAAAATTTATTAAGCCTAGACCATCACAGCAAGAAGTGAATCCTGCTTAAGCGTGCCATCAGTGAACTTGTCATTTAAGGAACTATGGTACCTCCTTATTTCCTATCTTCTTTTTCTTTGCGACCCTTTGTTTTATTTTTCTTTATTATTTCTCATTTATTAAAAACTTTTTTATTATCTCAGTCCTTCTAAATCCTTTCCTTTTTCCATTCTTTTTTTATCTTTTTTATATAAATTTATCTTAGTCCCTTTGTTTTCTTTATCTTTTCATTAAAATGTCAGTTGAAAGTAGCACTTGTCCAGTCCTGTCCTGTCTTGTCCTTTGTCTTTCGTACCAATATTTTTATGATGTTCAACCAACCAGGCAAACAACTTATTTTATCGTTCTTAGTGCCCTGAATTATGTCTGTGCAATTTTGTTTAAGTTATTTAGGGTTTTGACACACAATAAGTTTGGCGTATTGCTATATAATCATTTCTACCATTGTCATTAGTCTCCTGCCATTTGCAAATATGCCAGCGTTCCTAAGCGCCTTGATTTATGCCCGGTGAGGTTTCAGGGCTACAATTATCATATGTCGTAATTAGCTAAATATTTAATCTTATCATAATACTGAACTGTCTTACTCGCAAGTCATGTTATTCGCATGTAGGTTTTCTATTATTATACAATATATTCAACTTTTGTGTTAAAATGCCTTTGTCTATTTATTGAGTATTTTCCTTTGCATTTATGTATTTACGTGTTCATTTTCTGGCCCTGGAGGCTGCGACAGACACCTAATCTGGCCCCTCAGCCATAAAGTTGTGAGACTCCTGAACTAAGGGAACACGACACGTGCAAACCAAGGAAAACAGGGGTACATTTGGACGGCCCTTGGGGCACCAGCTGAGTACCGGATACAGTGAAAGCTCGTTAATTCACAACTCATTAATTCAAACTTTTGGATAATTCAAACCAGTCGCCATGGTCCGGTCCCACTGCGTAGAGGTACATGTGGAAAACAACCCGTTAATTCACGCTCGAATCGTTTCCGGCAGCGATAATTCAAACCGCACGCCGCCATGCGTGGAGCTTTTCTGGTCAAGTAACAGGCGGCGCGGCGAGAACCGCGTCGCCGCGCGTTCCTAAATGTGGCAGGCGCGTTGCAGGAAACGCGAGAGCGTTGTCGGTATCCACTGCGAGCCAATACGAATGCGCACATGGATATTTGGAACAACATCGCCAGGCATTCGAGAGACCGATAGGGGCGCTCAGAGTGGTTTCTTTCGCGCTTTTCGAAGCCCTTTGCGTCCCTTTGTTCTCCGCAATACCAGTTCTGCGGTTCTGTTTCCGTGCCTCGTTGGTCCGGGCCTACTCTGTTGGAGCCGTTGCGCGATCGCCGATCCATTTGTGCTGGTGACTTAGCTGACTGTGTTGGCCGTACTGGCCGTACGACCAAGCTACGTGCTACGCGCTTTGATACGGCGGGTATACTGGCCCGAGGAAAGTATCACGCCAAAACGCTTAAAGAGAAAGTGGAGATTTTGCATGAAGCAGACGCAGGAAAAGCGAGCAAGGTTGAGATTGCCAAGAAGCACGAGATCCCGAGGAGTACGTTGTCAACATACGTCCGCAACAAGAAAACAATCGAGGACGCCTATGAAGCTGAAGTTTTTGCCCATGGTAGAAAAAGACTTCGCTCTGCCAAACACCCGGATTTGGAGAAGGCGCTCATCACTTGGGTTAAAAAGATGAGAAGCCAAGATCTCCCTCTCAGCGGCCCCATCATCATGGCAAAGGCGGCCGAGTACGCACTACATTTGAAACACGACGACTTCGCTGCGTCTGAGGATTGGTTCCATCGCTTCCGTCAGAGGCACGACCTTGTCTTCCGTATCATGTCTGGTGAAGGTAAAGACGTGAGCATGGAAACTTGCGCAATGTGGCGAACTGGATCCCTGCAGGGCTACCTGGAGAGCTACACGCCGCGGGACATCTTCAACGTGGATGAGACCGCTCTATTTTTTAAACTCTTGCCGGACAAAACGACCACGTACAAAGGAGACAACTGCGCAGGAGGGAAGCTAAGTAAAGAGCGTGTCACCGTCTTGGTCGCGGCAAACATGACTGGAACGGAGAAGCTTCCCCTGCTCATAATAGGAAAGTCGGTGAAGCCTCGGTGTTTCAAGAACATTCGCACACTGCCAACGGACTACGAAGCCAACAGAAAGGCGTGGATGACTGGCGAGTTGTTTAAAAAGTGGCTTAAGAAGCTGGACAGAAAGTTTGAATTGAGCAACCGGCAGGTTCTGCTTATCGTAGACAACTGCTCAGCACAAAAGGTCGACGTGAAGCTGAAGGCGATTAAACTCGTGTTTCTTCCACCAAACACGACTAAAGCACTCCAGCCGATGGACCAGGGTGTGATCAAGAACATAGTCTTTCTACAGACGTCACATGCTGAAACGAATGGTTCTTTGCGCGGCCAAAGGGAACCAGACTTATAACGTGACACCCCTCAGTGCCATGCACATGCTGGTTCGCGCATGGGACCAAGTCACCACGGCAACAATTGCGAACTGTTTCCGTAACAGTGGTTTTAGTGTCTTGGGTACGGAGGCGGCTGGCGGCGACACCGGAGAGTGTGAGGTTTTTTTTGAGGGCACGTGTGATCTGCTGCAGGACGCGGGTTTTGCCGATTACGTCGATGCAGACAGTGCGGTGATCTGTGGCACTATGACTGACAAAGACATCCTCGCTCAAGTAGTTGGCGAACCCGTCGCGGAAGCGGAGAAAGACGTCAATGACGAGGAGGAAGAAGTGGGGGTGGAAGAAATTCCGATTTAGCCATCCGCGCCGGAGGTCATGGATGCATTGAACGTGGCACGTCTTTTCTTCAGCTTGGAAGAGGGCGAAGAAAATGCCTTGCACTTGGTGCGTTCCCTTGAAAATAAGCTAACGACCATAACTTTCCAAGAAAAGAAGCAGATGATGATCATTAATTACTTTGGATAATAAAGGTCTGCCGTTCCGAATGTCACCTGAGCAGAAGCGGCCTTTTTTTTTTCCGTTTTTCGTTAGCTCGAATTTTGTTTAATTCAAATTCTTTTTGCATCCCCGTGCAATTTGAAATAACGAGCTTTTACTGCTACTATTGCATTCTCGGCATATTTTTAAATATATCTCGGCGAAAAAATGTCCTATACTAAATAAACCAAGGGGCAAACCTACTAGTGCAAGCGCAAGGAGACAGGTTTGTCTTGGCGTACGCGTTTCGAGAGGATGTTGTTTGGGATCCGCCGAGATTCCAGTTTCCGAGCGGAAGTCTGCGACTACACGCCGGCCGAGTTGCACGCAAAAGGTGCGTCGCGCCATGCATGCGTCGTCCATAGTCGCTCGAACAAAAGAAAGTTTGATTTCCCCAACCGGCGCCGATAGGGGCCGAAATTCCCTCGTTTTTCCAGACTTTTGAGGATGCAGAAAACACATCAGCGACAGACACGTTCCAGACAGTAGTAATACGCAGGTAGTATGTAATGGGCAGTGGTAATATGCAGTAGTAATACCGTAATATACGTAGGTGGTGGCGAAATCTGAACACAAAGGGCTCATTCGACTTACCCGCACCAGCCTGCACCGGTGCAGAAAAGTCATGCGGCGCAGAAAAGTGCGGGGCAATGTATTTCCAGTCGTGTCAAGTTAGGCTGCGCTAGTATAAATCGAACACGGCGACGTACGCCGAGCGCAGCTGGTGTGGGTAAATCAAATAGAAAAAATGCTATTTCGCAGATGGAATGAGAATCGTGACCCACCTCGAGCGCTCCGAGCCGAGGCCATCGCCTGGTGCTGCCGCACCCTGGCGCCGTCGTCCGCTCCGGAAATCGTCCCCTTCCGCGCCGCCTTCTTCGCCCGCTTGCCGTGCCCCAAAAGCCCCGCCTCCTCCTCCCGGTCCCGCCTCTTGGTTCCGCCCTCTTTCCGCCCCGGCTCGCCTGACGACGCGCTGTCCGTCGTACGCGATGACGAGTCATCGTCCTCGTCCCTCTTAAACCCTGAGACCGGCCCGTCTGCGGACCCTCGGCTGTTGTTGTCCTCCGAGTCCGCAGACATTGTGCTCTCGCCGTCCAGCGTCCCGTGGAACGCGGCGATCGCTGTATCGCGGCGTTGCGGTGCCGGTGAGACGCCGGGTGACGACGAATCTGCGCCTCCGCTTCCGTCCGGCGTTGTCGGCGGAGTGTTGTCCAAGACGGGTGCTGAGGGATCTGCGTTGGATGGACCGGCCAGCGCCGCTTCCGCGACCGACGTGAAGATGTCCATTTTGGTCGGACGCTGCGGCTGTTGCTGCTGGTGATGTGAGTGAGCATGATGGGGCTGGTGGTGATGATGTGGGTGGTGGTGGTGGTGATGATGGTGATGCGACGAGTGACCCGCAAGCTCGTCGTCTCCCTCGCGGACCGGGCTCGCCGGGACTTTCTCCTCGCACAGGAGGAACAGCGAGTCCGCAGACTCAGCGTGCAGGTCTGTGCCGGCCGTCGTCTTCATCTCAACTTCCTGCCCGCAGACTTCCGCGAGCGTCGAGAGGTAGTCATGGTGGAACGATGGTGGCGATGGCCTGATCGCGATCAGCGTGGCGACTGGGGCCGCCACTGCCTTCCGCTTGTCCCGCTTAATCTTCCCTGCGAAGGTCCGCTCAATGCCGCCGTCATCCTCCGAATCCACGTCGTCGCGCGTCGTAGAGAACTTTCGCCGACGGCCCTTCTTCAGCGCTCCCTCTGTTGAGACCCCGTCTTTCCCAAGACCCTTTCGCATCTTCCGCTTCTCCTTCTTTAACGCCGACTTGTCTTCCCCAGAGTCCGCACCGGCGGCCAACGCGCCGCCGGGACCGCACTTAAACTTGCTCCGCCTCTTCTTGACTGGCTTGTCCTCCTCACCTTCCGCTGCGGGCGACATTCCCTTCCGGCACTTCTTCATCCGCGGCGACTTGAGCGGCGATCCGTCCGGTGCCACCTTTGTCTTCTTGCGGCCCTTCAGCTTCGCCTCCGGAACGTCGAATTTCTTCGGCCCCCCACGGCCAAACTTCTTTTTCACCACCTTCTTCGCTGGAGACTCCGCTGCGGCTTCTGGCGGACCCACCTCGACCTCCACAGCCGCGAGAACTGCGTCCTCGCTTCCGACCGACGGGAACTCCACGGGTTCTGCAGCCACCTCGTTGCTGCTCACCTCCTCGTCTGCGACGACCCTCAGCGCGTTGGAGCTGCTCCCGTCGTCGCTGGATGTCAGCAGCGCCACCTTGAAGAAGTCCTGCGTCGACGCCGACTCTGACTCCTCCTTGACGAACTCGATCCGGCAACCTGACTCTGCAGGATCCGCGTCCTTCTCGACCGCCGGCTCGACCGATGCCATGTTAGGGCTAGCCGGCACGGCTTCTGCCTCTTCATCTTCCTCCTCCTCTTCTTCTTCTTCTTCTTCCACCTTGCAGACCTCGAACTCGGACGCCGGAAGGCTGTTCTCTGGCGCCAGGAGAGCGTCCCTCTCAGGACCCTCCCTTGCAACCAGGGACGGTGGAAGCAAGAGCACATCCTCTATGGCATCTTCCGCCAGTTCCTCTGCGCTACCGTGGTCCGGTTCGGCCAACGGCGAGGCGGCTTCTTTCTGCAAATCTTCTTCTTCTTCCTTGTCCTCTTTCTCCAGGGGCGGAGCCGCCTGAGGCGCCTGCTCCTCCCTCCCGACCTCCACTTCCGCGGGCGGCGGAAATATGGTGATAACTCTCGTCACGGGCACAACCTGACGCGGAGCCGGAAGCTCCGTCTCTGCCTCCACCTCTACGGAGACTGCGTCCGCCTCTTCTGCTTCCTCTTCTTCTGTCGCGTCGACGGTTGCTTCAGAAGGAGCCTCGACGATTTCGTCCTCTTTCTCCTCAGGCTTCTTGCTCTCCTCCTCCTCGAAGATGACGAGACTGCCCTCATCCAAGAGGCTATCTTCGTCGTCTGCTACCGCCGTCGCTATTCCCTCGTCGACCTTGGGTTCCTCGGCTTCGTTCGACGCAGGCTCCGGTTCTTCTTCGACGGGCAGCTGGCTTTCCGCCTCCTCCTCCTCGCTCTCGTCACCGTCCTCCTCTCCGTCTTCGTCGTCTTTCAGCCTGGACTTGCGCTTCCGCTTGCGATGGCTGCGGGTCGGAGGTGGCGGCGGAGTGAACGCGAGCGCCATAGATCCTCCATCATCGATGTCGGTGTCTTCATCGTCGCATTCGGGTCTCTCTGTTTCCTCGACGACTTCCTCTTTGACACGGACCACTTCGGACTCGTGGAAACTCTTAGAAGCCGCTGATGGAGGGGGAACATCTTCACTGGAATCCGTGACGGACGTGCCTTTCTCGGTTTCGTCAGACTGCTCGTGCTCCACCTTTTCTCCGATGAAAGGCAAAAAGAGAGACAATGATTTGTCAGTAAAGCACTTTACAACCTTCCACACTGGTCACGATAAGCTACGAGTAGGTCACAGACATTTCTGCCTTACTGAAATAACAGACCCTTTTTTCTGTTTACTAACACGAGCACTCTCTTGGCTATCAAGAGACTTTTGGTCATACTGTTTCGGCAGGTTTCCAAAACTTGTTGACGTCGAAATTCGTGGGACGATGAAGCTCTACGAAAATCACAAAGTTGAAGATTTTGCGAGGTCCTCCCGCTGTGCTACTGAGCATATAAGGAGATGGTTCATCTTATGGGAGTAATAAAAAATCTCCAACAAATCTCTCACTAACCGGTCCTTTAGCTAACCAACCTAGACAACTGGTCATAAAATATTTTGTGAACTTTAAGAGAAGCAGTGCTATAGTGGGGATTGTTTGTACCCTTGTTTGACCGGAAGTAAGCGGGGATGTAAACTGCCACAGGGCCTTCTTTCAGTGCTTTTAAAAAAGAGGCCTATAAGCAGCTTGCAGGTAACAAAAATATTAAATTCATGTTAAGCAAAAGGAATTGGCTGTTTGCTTCATTCCACCTGGCAATTAAGAGGAGCAGCTGCATTTTCAAGCAAAACAATATTTTTACCACTGATTTACAACTACTCTGTACTGCTTTATAACCTACTCAACGTATTGCATACATCGATGCTAGTTTCTACAGATCCTACACAATGTGCTTACACAAATTTATTCTAAATTGGAGTCATCCTTCCTTCCCTGGTTGCTGCATAAACATACATTGAACTTCTTCACCGGGTCCAGTGATGTGACTGACCTAAGCCGTTTTGGAGCACCTTTCGGAGCAGCCAAGACAGTGTTTTGGAGCAGCAAATGTGGCATTTGCAGCAATCATAACAGTGTTTTGGAGCAGCAAAAGTGGCTTTTGGAGCAGATATTCCCGCAAAAATAAAAATATTCATTTTCAGTGATGTACAAATGAAGAGCACTTTGCAGTGTGTTGTGTTCTGATGAGACGTGTTGTGACGGAACTCGCTGATTGCGTCCAAACGTGCCACATTTCCATCAAAAGTAAGCAAACGTAAAACAATGGATTGCAAGCGTCCCGGCTGGTGCTTCTGTCGTGCAGTCGTGTTTGCATCCACGTGAGGGCAACTCCGGCAGGCTTATAGTTGCGCGAGCAGAGACAACGCCTGTTCGATCGAAACCGACACCATGCTGAGTACCCAGTGCTTCTGCATCGCGCATGTTTGCAAAGAGTATGTCTTTTTTCTTGTTGTGCAGTCGAACTTGGCTTCTTGTAGCCACAGTCGGATGTCGTTTATTTTGTTTCGGTGAAAAAAAACATTGTATCACCCCGCTCCGTCGTCAACTGATTCCCAAAACTGTATGCAAAATGTAACTGTCGAGCATACGACAAAAAACAGTCCAGCGGCGCGTGCTTGCATGGGCCGCAAACAAGGTACACGCTAAACACACGGAAAAACCAAAGAACCTGAGTGCATCGATGCAAGACATCGCGGGCCAGGGTCAAAACTTTCTTGGAGCACTTTGTGCAGCGCACTGTGCGGGCTAAGCATGTAGACATTGCCTTCTTTGCTTTAGTTCACTTCTCTTCAACTTTCTTTCGCAGCAGATTTTTCACATACCTGGGTCCCTCTCCAAAGAAAAGCCCACCAAGAGAAGCCTAGGTAATTAATACTTCGACACACGAGTCTTTGAGTTAAAGAAGGATTTTCATAGTAACGTATGATTTAAACAAGAACATGTTGATGACTTGTTTCGTTTTAGAAAGCGCCATATCTGCAGCGACGTGGGGACGGCAACACCCAACGTCGCGCGACCACGGTGACCAAACGAAATATAGTTTTCCCACGGCCGTTACTTTCAGGAGAGAGTGCTTCAGCTCACAAAGAAACTCCCGCCGCGCGACAAAAGTTGTTTCGTTTCACAGTACGACGGCATGGCCGGTACCCGGCACGCAGGCGTCGGAGCGTCCACACACACCTGCGACTATCGTTGAAAATATTAAAAAAAAAAGACGCGAGACGAGGCCTACGGGACGCCGAGAGCAACAAGAGTGCGAAACATGAGACGGTGGGAAAACCATGCAAGATCGAATGGAGAATTGATGCACGGTTCTTTGTGTCGGGCGGCCGCTTGCGCCACCTATAGATCACGCATGCTCAATTACAGTACTCAGTTTAGTTTCGGTTTTGAAAGGCGGCCGAAATTGGTTTTTTGGTGCAGGCTTGGTACAGATTACCTGTATTTTGGCAAAATGTAGCAGGATGTAGCATGGTTAGCCCCTTGGCGCTGTTTGGAGCAGCAATCACATCACTGCGGGTCTGACGCATGCGGCCTTCAGACATTGATGTCGCTAACCATCGTTGATCATACCTTCCTGTTTTCTTTTTGTCAAAGCACCATTCAGTTTGGCAAATAGTGACTGTCAATCAAGACTTCTTTTTTACACTATCACCCCAAAGCTTGTAGACCCCACCCCTTTTTGACAAAACCTTGGCTGTCAATCAATTCTTTGAAGCCCCACCCCAATACCCAGAGTCCCTGCCCTCATCAATAAAGCAAGAAATAGTTGCTTATAACATTGCAGCACTTTTTTTTTATTAGAGCTTCATTCCCTCTGCCCGGACACCCCACCCACCTTGACAGAAGCATAGCTATCAATCGCAGCCTTTTCATAGAAAAAGCTTGTTTTCTTTGCCCAGAATCAACAAAAATGACACTGCCAATCAAAAAAGCTTTTCTTCTTAAAAGCCTGTTCTTTTTTTTGATCTTGACAGAGGCATAGCTGTCAAATTCCCACATTTTTTGTTAAAAACTCGTTTCCTACATCCACCTTTACAAAAGTGTATCTGTCGATCAAAGGAGATTTTTTTCTTAAGAGCCCCACCCCTATGCCCCAAGACCCCACCCACCTTGACAGAAGCGTGGCTGCGTTCGGACATCGCCTCGTCTTCCCCCGAAATGTCTTCGTCGTCTCCGTCGGGCGGAGACTGTGTGCCAGACTTCCTCCGGCTCCGCCTCCTTGGTTCCAGGCCCCCGGCAAACGGGCACTCCGACAGGACTCCCCGATCCGAACGAGTGGCCCTGGTGGGCATGCCAGTCAGCGAAGGGGGCCGGCTCTGGGGAGGTGGAGTTGGGGGCTGGGCCGGAGGCGGAGCCTGCGTGGCTCCACCCTGCTGGGACCGGCTGCCCGAGACACTTGGGGGGCGACCCCGGCGAACTCCGCCCTTCTTGGAGGCAGAGCCCGTGTCCGACGATGCTCCACCCCCGCCGGGTGGAGCGGTCGGTGGGGACGATCCGCCGCTGTTGGACTTCTGCTGCGGCTGCTGATGGAAAGAAAATCAGGGATCGGTCAAAATTGACTGAGCAAAACTTGAAACTACCTTGTTACCTTACCAGGGGAAACTAATGCCACGTAGCCACATATTCGAGGGTGGTTCACACATGTGACCGAATATGTTGCATCCGCTCGAACAGCTTATGACTGGAGAACACGCTTCTACACTGGCGACCACCATCAGATAGCCCAGGAATGCTTCCAATTTACGTGTAACTACTGTAAAGTCCCGTAGGACCTCTCGTCGTAAGTGGCTGAGAGTGGGAACAACGCACTCATTCGTACCCAAATCCAAATGAGCAATCCAGCCTTAAGGCAGCTGTTACATCAGTTCCAACTTGGTTACATTACAGCACGTAGAACACGGCACGCATACTTTGCAAACCAGCCGAACGGCGTCCAGCCAACCACCGCTCCAATTCCTTCATGCTAGCAAACAAATCAATGTCTTACCGATCCTTCGGCACCCTGCCGCTCCTGCAACAAGATGCACGACATCAGTGAAACGCCGAAAGCGACGCCGAGCACTCGGAGCTCCACAAAGAAGGTGGGCGAGGACTCACCTTCTGCAGACGCTTGCGCCGAGCCGTCTTGTCCGTCACGTTCTCCACGATCCGGTTCTTCCGAACCCACTCGTCGTACCTAGAAAAGCGACGCGATGTCAGTGGCGCGCCTGAAGCCCTAAGCCTTCGTCCCATACCCTCAGCCCGACGACGCACCCATTTTGACCTCGCCCCAGCCATCTAGGAACCTTCCGGGCGCATCTGGCTCACAAAGCCCACCCACAGCAACTGGTGCAGTTCCAGTCGCTCCACAGCAAGACAGTGTTCTCGGCGCGGGGTAATTTGTGGTTACCGACGGCTTAGGAAATGCAGGGCGGGAGCTATTATCTTTTTTCGTGATTGGTTTATCAGAGTTCTTATCAACTAATGCCACAATCTGATTGGCTGCAGAGAGATAGTGAAATGTGCGGGATTCGCCACGCCCTGCATTTCTTAAGCTTTAAGTAGGGAAATGGCCTGGGAGGGTCAACTTTTGAACCCTTGTCTCAAATTGATTCAAACTTTCAGGGTGAATTAAACCCCATTAAGATTGGTGAAATCTAAAGTTTCAGTCTTATAAGCCATTTCTACAGCATGCTATGCTTAACAAGCTCCAGAAAAAAGTTACTTTATTAGGAAATGTATTTAAGAAAAATAATAATTGCAATCCACAAACTGTTTGGTTTAATGTGAAGTAGAATACCCATAGTGCAAGTTAAATACAAATTAATTGTAGAAAATGCAATTCTGGAGAAAAACAATAACACCCAAAAAGAGCAAACGATTTTAACAAATTTCTGAGTTTTAAATTATTCAGTTTTTGTCATGAAGAATTTAGCTTTTCCAGATTATGAGTACCTTAACTTGTTCCTCAGAAAACTTCAGACCAGGACACCACTGAATGAAATCTTTACACTTTCAAAATGTCAAATGATACATTTCCTCATACCACATTTCCTGCCGAAAAGTGAAACTGAGAAAAATGCATTTGAAGTTTCAACTCTAGGTTTCTTTCTTTTCTGCGAGTTCGAGGTAGGCAAAATTCACTTGGCGCATTGTTGGCACCTTCCCCTTTAAAACTTTCCTGTTCCCCTGGCAATAGCTCCCAGCTTGCGTCATTTGTATAGGCTAGCTAACGTTTATAGCAGGCATTCGTTGACAGATAAACTGGCAAGAACTAAGAGGCAAATCATACTACGGAAGAGCAGCAAAGCAGGAATATGGTCTGAAGTGGAAGATACTGTGAAAGGGTGTTTCTGAAGATGACACAATATCACATCACCGGGCAGGGCCACTTGTAAACCCCGTTTTGGGTCTCAACCAATAAGATTGCTCATACCAAATTTTTAGAATTTTTTCTGTTTGGATGTATTGGGTCCTCCTGGCCATTCATACTTGTAAATTTCGAAAGCTTCTACAGGCTAAACCTAGAGTAAATGGCACTTCCAATGAGGGTGAGATGTTGTGGCTAGGTTAAACGAGCATGAAGCAGCACTAAATAAAAAACGCAAAAAACTTGCTCCCTGCTGACTTGGAGGGCTGCCGACATGTTGAAAATAATTTATTCTGTGATAAATCCTGCATGTTTACATATGAAAGTTTCTGAAACCATACTTTGGAAGTTAATAAGCATAAACATATCATTTTTGAAAAAAACATTTTTCTCTGAAGATTTTGAATTCCGAGGCCATGTCCCCCCTTAAGTAGGGTTTTGTGTTTTTGGATAAATCTGATGAGCTTCGAAAAACACCCGCCGGTAACATTTGTGGCAATTCCAGATTTATCTGAAAAACTATGAATTTTAAAGTCCTGACGGCAAAATAGAAAGCAAACAAAAGACGTTATCTTGCAAATTAAGTTTGTCAGAGCACAGGACTAGTGGTTATGAGTAAATTCCAATCCGTTTTTTTATTTATGTTGAAATATTGACAACAGAAAGTTTCCCGTTTATCTCGCCAAGGTCCGTTAAGTGAAATGGGCCGAGGCACTTCTGGACCACGACAAAAGCCACTGTTCCGATTTCCAGTTTAACCATACCATCTGTGCTTCTTCGAGGGAAGAGAAGTTGTGTTTTGTAACAGTGAAAGATGTAAACCTGTTGAATTCATATGATGGTAAGGGCAGCAGTAGGTTTTATGCATGTTTAGCTATTTCAAAGTACCGACATTATTTGAAATAACACATGTTCTTGATTTCTCGTAGGACAGTTAGTACTGCCAATCGCAAGGGCATCAATGCCGAATGCAGCTGCAGAAATAACTTTCGATACCGGTGAGCTTTTTTTTTTTTTTATGAATTTAGTGTACATTTTATAATTTTTATTTTGATAAATAAAATAACAGAGTAAAATTAAGTTCCAAATTTCAGAGAATTGGGAATCTAACAAAAATAAACTCCGATAAACCCCTCATTTTAAGCGAAAAATAAACTCAGAAGAACACCCTCCTAAACTCCCAAGAAATAAACTCCGAAAACACAAAATCCTAGCCATAGGCAACTATAAACCGGTTATTGAGAACAGCCAACTCTTATGGTCAAAATGGCTTGATGAACGAAAATACAGAGCAAAGGACAAGGGTATAAAGATGGGACAAGCGCTAACTCACAACTGTCATTTTAATGCACTTACGAGGGAAGGGAGTGAAGGGGTGAAAATAGCGGCAATCATTAGACGAAAAGGACGAAAGAGAGATGCAAAGCATTAAAATGCCAGTTGCGAGCCGCCGCTAGTCCCGTCTTCGTGCCCTTGTTTGTCCTTTGAGCTACCTTTTGTTCATAATGCTTATCCAACTAGCCCACGTTAACATTTTAGCACAAAAGCGCTTTACCGACTCCCGAGGACCATCATCCGACGTTAGACGTTCGCAACAAAAGCCAACCTTTCCTCATATCGGAAGTGCTTCGACGAGAAAATGAGACCGAAGCGCAACTTCCCCACTGCCTGTCGATGAGCAACTGGTGTGTGGAAAGACAGATAGCACTTTGGAATGGTTCTATGAGGTAAGCCCTACCAAACGTAACAAGCATTCAACAACGCAGACGGACTGAGTTCAATAGATCACTCGAGATAAACAGATGCAACTACAGTACACGAGGGTAAAGGTAACAATGCAGAGTGCAAGTTTGTCTGCTTTTTTTGCATGGGTTCTGGTGACATCAGAACACCAAGCTCGAACTGGCTCTGGTTGAAGGATAGTGGGCAGACCTCAAAGAAAGCTGCCTTGAGGTGTATCCACTATCCTTCAGTCAGATCCAATTGGAGCTCGGCGTTCTGATGTCACCACAAGCCCTGCAAAAGAAGCAGACGAATTGGAGCTCCACATATAGTTTGGCAAACAAGCCGGTGAACAGACGAAAGGCAACACATACCAAAAACAGACTTCCCGCGGACCTCACGGTGCAACCAGACTACAGTACCCAGTGAATCTGCGGCACCCAAGCGGGGTACAGCTCAATACGGGGCTCGGCAAAGGAGCGCGCCCGTGCACCCGGCAGTCACCTCATGTTCCATCCGGTGTAGTGGACGTAGAACTTCTTGTCACCGGCCTCCTCCTCGATGCGCAGCACCTTGGCCTCGTAGATCTTCAACTGACGTCCCCGCCCATACTTGACCTTCACTCGGTCCCCGACGTCAATGCTCACGTCCAGCGACCAGCGGCGCTGCGGCGGCTCCCCGCCTTCACCCCGGGACTCGGACCGCGGCTCGGACTCCGTCGAGGAAGACGGCGCAGCACTGCGGCGAGAATTGAGCACCCCGCGTCGGAACCAAGTTTGGGGCGAGGGGGCCTAAAGGCTTGTTCGCACCCTTGCGTCTGCTTAGGAACAAGTTCTGGCAATGTCTTACGCCAGGGAGCACGCTGGCACCATCTATTGGGTGGCAATAGAACCCTCAAGATTTCCATACATTCCCCCTCTTTTTTCTTTTTTTTTTCATTATTCTTTTTTTATTGGCTTGTAAACTTTTCAGAATGTTGTAAATGTTAGATTTTGCAAACACCGCAAATCCTTCGCTCTAGTGAAATGCAGTCCCACGGCCACTTCAAAGATGACACCAGCGTGCCAGTCTGTTCTCTCGGCACAAGAGATCACGAGAACTGGGATCGTACAAAGCAAGCGCAACTGTTTGAACCGGCTTTTAGGGCGGTGGTTCTGAACCACCAATGTTTCTGGCACCCCTTCTGAAACAACAGAAGATAAAGGGGAAGCCGTCCACCGGGGGAGAGGCGACTATTGAACGGTTATTACGGCAAAAGGGTGAATGAAGAAAACGAAATGCATGCAAACTAATTTTTGAAGCTCTGAAACGGAGAATAATCAACACGCTCACTCGACACACGTGGTTTGGTCTATTTAGGTTTGAGAAACAGCCAGCATCAGTAAAGAATCTATGGAAAATTGCTAGGCAACTATGGTGCATACATGAAACGTTCTAACATCAGAAACATTTAGCGATACTCCGAGTTTCCAGATGCCAGACGCCTATGTTCACGGCTCTCTTCATCAGATAGTTTAATGCGTACTATTTGCAAGTACACTTGATAGGTGTTCCTAGAATGAAGCGATACTTCCGCTAATCGGGCTGATAAACTTGGCGACCTTCCAGAGCCTCCAATACTCTCGAGCTCCTCTCCCTTAGTGCGCACAGGTGGTAGAGCAGCTCCGCACCTACCTCACTCCTCCTCGCCCACCCCTCTGAAAACATGACCTCCCCGTTAACTAATCACCACCGAGCACCTCACTCCTCGAGCTCTCGTGGCCATGCTTTTATCTCGGCTTCACGGAATGCCGAACACCTAGCCAAAGAATGTTTCACATTAAAAAAATAGTATGGTTGCTCGGCTTAACTGACAGGTGAGGGCTTCGGGGACTCTACGAAGGCCTTCAGAAGCCCAAGGAGGCCTTCAGAGCCCCCTCCCCCCCAATTTGAAAACCACTGCCTTAGAAGAGTACTGAACTCCGGAAATGCATTTGTCTGGTGTGTGCCCAACAAGTATGTCACATCCTTTTGACACGTATGCCAGGACGTTTTGATGTTCCCCAAGCTTCTGAGCCTCTGGGACAAAAAACAAACACCCTATAAATGAACAAATATCTCTATAACTAATCAGGTTGCAATGCGAAGCCTTCGAATAAACGCACAACTGTTTCCATAGCGCTGTAATAAGCACAAGCATTGCAACTCCACTTACACTCTAATTAACCGAACATTGGAACAAAGCGACTTCAAACACATCGACGATAGAACAATAAAGACAACCGAGGGACCGAGACAAAACGAAAAATCCCTAGCTCTCTAGGTAGGGAAGTTCCTTCCCTGGGTAGCTGCACTTGCCTAGGGAACATCTGGCCCGGGGCACCTCCGCATCCCTCCATCCCTTCAGAGAGACTTCGGGAGAGAAAAGGAGATGCATTCCTTACACTCGAACCACGATTGCCAGACCGACAGTGGCTCGCCTTAGCCAACTAGTCTAACTCTAGAGAGCTAACGGCGCAAGAGCCGAGAAATTCAGAATGCAGCGCTCACGTCAACATAAACGAGCTCACCTGTCGTCCTCCTGTTTCTCCCGTTCTGCCGAATCGTCTGGTTTACTCTTCTTCATCTGTAACAGGAACGAGCACAATTAGAACTCGTTCAAACTCGAGTGTTCTGCCTCTTCGCCCGTCTTCCTCCTTGCCACGCAACAACGCAACACATGCGCACTTGAGACCTTAGAGGGGCCATGAAGGCAATTTGGAAGTTTCGTTTCACAATCGATATGGGCGTCAGGCACGTCTCGGACACTGAGTGACCAAGTTCTAGCCCGAACAGACGTTTGGGTGCCGCACCGATCAACTAAACGGGTGTGGTAATCATCGCACAGAAAACAATACAGTCGAATCTCGTTAATTCAAACTTTCTTAATCCAAACTAACATGCTGGTCCCATCCTATGCATTTCTATGGGAGGAAACTCCCGGTAATTCAAACTCTACTTTATTCAAACAAATTTTTGGTCCCCCTCGAGTTTGAATTAACGAGATTTAACTGTATATCCGCCAAAGCCCTCCCCCCCCCCCCCCCCCCTTTCACCTCCACGGGACAGCGGCAGAAACGCAAGCTAAAGTTCACTGCGTGACGTCGAAGCATGACTACAACAGCTCCTCGTCGGGCGACTGGTTGAAATGAATGACGCGCTCTTGGCGTTGCGGCATCGGCGAGGCAGGTGGAGAGCCGGGAGGGTCGCCTGCTCCGAGGCGGCGACCAAGGTGTCGGTGGCAAGTTGAGGCGCCCTAGTAAAGCGCCAATCCAGAGTTTCGCGTCTTAAGAAGCATCTCCCGTTCCGTCGGCGTGGGGTCGCTGAACACTATAGCCCACTGCGGGAACCACGCTGAGCCTCCATTAAATCCTACCGAAAACCGACAGTGCCCCTTGACGCCACGTTCGAACGTTGGTTCCCAATTAGAAAATATATTTACAGGCACAAAAATAAGAGTCGAAGAGTTCTAAAAAAAGATTTGAGTGGCATGCTAGGGAAAGCCCCAGTGCATCTGAAAACACATTCCTTTAAAAATTTGAAACTGCCTTCATGGTCTCTTTAAATTGCGAACACTCCTCATGCCATGCTCCCGCTATTCAATCTAGGCTCTACAGAGGTCCCTCACAAGCGGTCACGAGGCAGTATGATGTCCTCAAGCAAACTCAAACGCAACTGCATGAACTAGCCTTGATACAAGTTCTGTTTAGTTCCGGCACCGAAGGTCAGACTTGCCTGTCGTTTGAGCGCAGGTGGCGTGGGGGCAGTCTCTCCTTCCTCACGCTTCACCTTGACCGCTCTCGGCGGAGCCCTGTCGTCTGGGCTGGCTTCCTCCGCGGTGGCATCTGGTTGCGACCTCTCGACGCTCTCCCCTTTCCTTGAAGACGCCGCGTTCCCGCTCGACGACCTCGACTCGCGCTTGTCTGGGCTCTCGTTCTTCTCCCGTCGTGCGTCCTCGCGAGTCCGCACCTGATTTTAAAAAAAAAACAATGATCTCTCAATCTCGTGCAGAGTTAATTACTGCATCTGGCCGATTCCCAGAGAGTACAGTTCTTGGTTGGGGTCAAAGTTTGGATTTTGCCTAAGCATTTAGGGCCCTGAAAAGCCCAAAGAAGCCAAGGTAAAAGCCAAACTCGACCGTCTTTGGCCAGTCTAGGTATTTTGGGCCTAAATTTGCAATCAAGCGTGACCCGTATGGTGCGTTATTTCGCTCGCACCAACGTGACATGCGACAAACGCGCGCATGCATGAGTGGACGCAGACGCACATGCATAGAGCGATGGACAGTCCCCGCCATCGGCGCGTTCTTATGTTGCTAGACTTCACAAACTGCAGAACATGTAGATACTATTAACGCAGATATAATACAACAATCATTAATTAATTAGTACATAATTCAAATACATTAACACGTCATAGAAGACCAGTGTTTCATTTTGAGGCTGTAAATAAAGTTGCCTAAACCGCACTAACATCCCAGTGTACAAAACTGCATGCCGAGTCAGCCGCGACATCAGTGGAATCGGTGGTGTGTTGTGTGCTTTTGTCTGTTGTTCATTCGCAGACTTGTATGCTTGTTAGAAAGTTGGCTCGTTCACACTTTTGCCTCAGTAGTTTACTGTCATCTGAAACTCGACGCAGCCTCTGTTGTGCAGCGAAGAAAAAAGTAGCTCCTGCTTTGAACGTTTGTGCTGATGCATGCGCACATGCAAGATAGGCCATTTTGGGTGCGTCCTGCACGGTAAAACACTGAAAGAATGCAAGCATGACATCACCTATGCATCGCACGCGACTCGCCTGAAAACTGAACTGGTGGACCATACTTGGACAATGGGTCATTCTTTTGACTTCGCAGCCACGACTCTGGTGAGGAAGTTGAGATGGGGTCACCGAAAACTTAGAATCGTGGTTCATCCGAAGGGACACATCATCGTGCAACAAGAACCGCGGCCCTCTGTCCAAAGCCTACGTGGAACTTTCCGATACATAGGACTGAGTCGAAACAAACCCTTGCATTTCCCTGAAGATGCCCCTCACATGAGAGGCAAAAAGTGTAATGAAATAGTTTTACAGCGGAGCTGTTAAGGACTAGGTTCCCGAAGATTGTGTCCGGTACAAAACACTTGTCGAAAAAACGCCTCTGGACAGCTAATGCCATCTATAAGCGACGGCGGCAAGCACACAACCAGTACGGTTGCCGCCGTCGCTCGTAGATGGCGCCAACCTTTCCAGCTATCATAGAAGAATGGATAGTTGGACGGCGCGCTGGTGGGAATTCATCGTAGAAAACAGCGCGAAAAACAGACGACGACAAAGAAGAAGCACACGTAACAAGCGCAGCGCTCGTCACGTGTGTTTCTTCGCCCTCGTCTGTTTTGCGCGCTGTTTCCTACACTCTTATCAGTTTCGGTCTAGACTTTGGATAGGTCGGCCAAGCGCCCTTACGGGGAAAAAAAGACTGGCTGCGGAAGGAGCGGCGATGTACGCAGCAGCACGAATGGGTCCATAACCGCCGCAAAGCCACTGTCGCCTCAACTTCCACTGCGTCGAACGCTTCAGATCCTTTGCCAAAGAACAGCACATCGCTCGCCTGGAAAGTTGCCGCCGAGAACAGAACCAGCGATGTAAAGGGCGCCAACGGGCCAACGCCACGGACAACGATCGTGCCACAGAGGCCAAAAGCGAGGCCCGGCAACGGCTGCACTCCACGCCGGCTGAACAGTTTTCGGGCGCGACGGCAATGTTCCAGAGTGAGTTCGTGGATTACCTGTTTGGCGTCACGTGCGCCGTGTGCAACTGACTCTGGGTCGCCGGAGACCTATCCACGATCGGCGGCGTGTCAGACAGGAAGAAGCGGGAAACGGGCGCATGCGCGTTGCGGCAGTGTATCGAGTACAGCTACGCTGGTCTTCCTTCTTCATGAGAGTGGAAAGGCTGATTGTGTTTTTTTTATGTCATGTCAAATCGGTGTCTTTATTTTGATTATTACGTCCTTCGGCTTATGGAGCCTTTTGGAAAACAGAAAAAAGAAAGTGAATAAACTACACTGTACACAGTCTTCCACCATGATGCCCAACAACGTATTGCGAACCAGGCACAGCCGTAATGACCGCGCAAAAAGCGGAAGCGTTAAAATCACATAACTGCTTTCCAGCTTTTATTGGTGATAGCAGACGCCGACTTTTGACGTCAGTGCCAGGCGCACACTTTTTCTGGGCCGGCAAGAAACAGGCGCGTCAACAAAATCGAGCGGGCGCGTGTCCAGAATGACGTTGCGTTGACGTTGACGCGCGCAAATCACGCACAAAAACATTCTATGCAGGTCACGCTTCGGGCTTCGCCGCCTGGTTTCTCTTGACGTCATCTGGCAACTTTTGGGCCTAAATCGCCAAACAACTGTCCCAGGTAGGCTTCACCGCCTGGATTTTGGCTGTCATCTGGCAACTCTGGGCCTAAACCACCAGACAAGTGCCAAAGTTAGGCTTCACCAAGGTGTGGTCCGTTCGCCGTCTGGCTGTGGACCTAAATCACAGGACAGGTACCAGAGTTAGGCTTCAGCGCAGGTTGTTCGGTTGATACGTAGAACTTTTGGTTCATGTCTCGCACTTTAAAAATTATGAGGCAAACCAAAAAAAAAATCCATAGAAAGGCCAAAGAAAAGTTCCTTGATTGGCACTAACTAAATGCCTTAAAGGACACATGAAAACAAAAAAACAACATTTTTTTCTTAAACAACTTGGATGGAAAACAAATGGCATAAAACAAAATTTACAACGAAAAAGAATAATTTTTTAGCTATATTGACGGCACAAAACGAATTTATAGTTGGCGCCTGTGGAAAAGTGGTTGCTATGGTCACATGACTGACTGCTATGGTCACATGATGCTTGCACTCTTTCGGGAGCATCATATGGGCTCTAAAAGTTATGTTAAAATCTTAGTTTGAAGGGCAACAAAAAAAAAAAAATAATAATAATAAGAAGCTTTTAGAGCTCGAAGGAAGCTCCTGAAAGAGCGCAAGCACCACGTGATAGACCTGCGAGCAGGTGAAAAATTGACGGCGGGGGGGCACCTAAGTGTTCCTTTTCGGCAGCAGCGATGTGGAGAAACGCGTTCAACCGGCGAAGCGCCACGCTCAGCATGCGGCGGCGGCGGCGCAGCGCACAGGTCTACCACGTGATCAGTGGCGGCTCCAGCAGGTGGCAACTACAAATTCGTTTTGCGCCGTAAATGTAGCACTAAAAATTTTCTTTGTTCATTGTCAATTTATTTGATGGCATCCTCTTCCTGTCCAGACTCTTTTTAAAAAATGTTTTTTTCCTTTGCATGTGTCCTTTTAATGCAAAACTTTATTAGGCCCAAGTTTGGCCCCTAGGGTTGCTATACTAGCCAAGTTTGGTGTGTCTCCGGCATGCTGCCTGGGTTCTTGCTAAGTTGGCAAGTTGTTCCAAGTTGTTGGCTCGTAAGTCTCATCCTTTGCAATCTAGCCCCCTTTTTGGCTACTTCTGTGACACATTTAACGATCTGGTTACCCTCGTAGTCAACTAAACCACTTTCAATGTACCTTGCTTAGTCGCATCTGTAGTTTGCAGCTTATGCCACAGCAACACGCGTGGAAATATGGGCTCGCACAAAACGTCACTTACACACCTGTCGCACAGAAAAGCTGTGGTATGGTCCACAAACTCCACGAAACATTGGAAGGTTTCTTCGCAGAGTAGCCGAATCAATCGGCAATAGCCATAATTAGAAAAGCGTTTAAGCGAATCAATATCTTCCTAATCGGTGTTGCTGTGTCTATGCACAGCAAAGTATGTCGGGAAAGCCATCATACAGAATTCTAGATATAGAAGAAGTAGAAAGACTTGCAGATCTCCACAAAGCAATTGGAGACAGCACCTCAAAGAGCCTACAAAGTATCTTGTTTGTAATCTCTGCAGCTTTATATGTACTATGTATTACAAGATGTCGAACACATACACATTTGCAAGACCGGCCTCAGGGCGCCGCTATCTTGGTCAGATGAGGTGCGCATGGACACGTCATAATCCAATTACAAAGCCTTGCAAAGGCATCATAATCGGATTATGACCGTGCTTAAGTGCACCCCAACTGAGAAAGATGGAGGCACCCTAAGTCCAGACTCGCAAACATGTATAGCTGTCTTGCTCTGGCTCTCATGCTTTTTCAAGTACAAAACAAGTTTTTGACCAATTTTACCGGAAATCTTAACTTCCTCCGGAATGTCTGACCTGGCATCCCTGGCACTCATATACACGACCTACAGAGTAATCTGGGCTCGATCAGTTCTGGCACATTTTTGCATGGTCACTAATTCTCACTCGCCAACAGGAATTCATCAACCAAAAACAAGCCCAGAGGCAGAAAGCATATAAATATTACAGTTCGTTGGAACATAAATAACGTAGGACAAGCTCCTCTTACAAAAGCCCTTCACTCTTTCAACTTTAGTAGAGCAAACACTGGAGGGGAGATGAGTGCAGAACTTTGTGGGAGGGGATTGCTCTGCTGTTTTTAAGCAACAGACTGCAGGCAGTTCATTTTAAACAAGTACCGACAACATCTTGAGACACCTTCCAGCAGGCAAGCCCAATAAACTGTGCTATTACCTACTCATGCAACTACAGCGTCAGCTCCAACAGCTTTCGAACACACATGCATAACGTATCAACATGCACGCCACCTTAAACTACGCCTTGAGTCACACCCAATCACTGTAAGACGCACAGATCCCCGAGCCATTCTTCCGGCGCGGCTCAGGGTTGCTTCCAGAACTTCCACTCCGAATTCCATGCACATGCACGCCTCCACAAGAAGCAACACCGCAGCCACCCAAGTCTGGATTAACTTGAAGCCGGAAGGTTCGAATGAAGTCTCAAAAGCGGCACGTAGCGTTTCGAAGGTGTTCAGGCTGTGTTCACCATGCAATCAGCAACGTGCATTCAGGGGGGTGCAGACTTTTCGCGCATCGTCTCACGTCTTCGGCAGCATCATGCACGCGCTCCCGAAGAGTTTTGATCCAAACCTTTGTGTCATCCGCGCTTGTCGCAGCAGACAACTTCGCGGGCGCTGGAGACGCGGAGCTGCTTCCGCTGCTGCTGTCTTCGTCGGCCTTGGCGCCGGACGCCCGGATGGCGCGGGACGGACGGGGCTTCTCGGCGGCCGGTTCTTCTTTCGCGGCAGCCGGAGCGGTCGGAGCGGCGGGGGGAGCAGGCTTCTCCTTTGTTTTCTTGTCTTCTTCCTTGTCCTCTTCTTTGGCCTTGTCTTCTTTCTTCTATGCATGAATCAAACCATTGTATGCATCACGCTTCCGCTCGTTTGTTTGGGGGTCGCAAAATCAGACTGATACGAAGGGGGACATTAGCGTCTCGTGGCGAAAGCTAAAGGCTGCCGTCCACACTGGCGTCCAGTCTCCTGTAGGCTTAACCAAACCACCAGAACCGTGTTTCGTCTCGGCACACAGGACTCTTTACCAGTTTTGGCTGTTTTTGAGGTCCGCCAATATGCTATAGGGAAGCTCTCCGTAAGCTTGAATCTGACGCTGCACATTATTTGTCCGCAGTTCGTCCCCTCGATTCGGCGTGTGCAGCGAAAGAAACGTGCAGAGATAGTACAAACGTTTCAGAGAATGTGTACACCACTGCAGTCACCAATAAAAATACATATCATTCGGGATAATGTGGCCCCTCAATTAAACATTATTTTGTTGCGCTAGTTGTTTTTGCCTTTTTTAATATTACAGTCATCTTAGCACACTTCTACCAGGGCCTAGAGAGTTTTCCAAGATTATGCTCATGGACATTTATGGGAATAAATTGCAGCTGCTGGCTAAAGGCACAGTGGTTATGAGTGCATTGCGATTGACACTTTAGTACAAATGAAAGGAAGGTTCAATGAAAAATCTACTCAAGTTCCAAATCTTATGCCTTATCCACCATAGTCCGCCACAAACCATAAGATTGGCGACACCCAAAACGTTAAAGCTCACGACGACCAAAGTAAATTTTAAAGGCTGACGTTCAAAAGGTCTACAAGTTTGAGCGCGAGACCATCTAAGAAGGAACAACCCAGACATTCTATCAAAACAATATTAAAAAGTGCAATTCAAAAAGGCACTCATTGTCACCTCAAGCAAAAGCAAGTTTTGCGCATCGTTCATATGCTGCACGAAACTATGCTTTAGACGTTTGAAACATTTATGTCTTGATAAGATAATGTATATCTAATCTAAAATGTACCTTCATATGTCTTAATTATCCACATAAAGGAGGAAACTAGTAATGCTCCGCTTAGAGCCATACTTCCCTTACTACGGTTCTTGAGGTCCCAAAACGAGTATACACTCAGTTTTATCATGTGTCCGGCCGCAGTGGACACTATGAGCCATCCCAGCTAATCAAGCTCTGTGAACGTAACGCGCGACACACTCCGTGCGACCCTGCATCCCCTCTCCAAGGTCACGCAACACTCATACAACCTTGGATTGACCCTGATGGCTCATAGCAGGCACAGTGGTCGGTTGCGAGGCGAGACGAAACAGAGTACAGTACAGTCCATAAAGATACAAAACGACTAGTAAACCTTGACACAAAATGTGTCCGAACAGCCTCGAACAACTGCCAAGTAACCTCGGAAATCGAGAAACAAAAGTGACTGGAATGCTCTCAGAGCAGCATCTGAAGTTCTGCCAGGAAACAATGAGGTTCTTTCTCAGACGTTTCGGCAGGCGCTTTGGGGCCAGGCGGTCGATTGCAGGTTTTGAAAACGGGGAACTCTCACCTCTTTCTCTTTCCGGGCAAAGAGCGCCAGCCCCCGGTCCTGGTTCCGGGTCATGATGCGGTCCGACCGGTGCCGCACCCTTCCAGACCGCGGGTTGGACACCATGGTGCACCCCAGCTTGCGGTAGAAGTCCTCGAAGCTCTGCAGATACCTGGCGAAGGAGAGCGGGAGAGTAAGAAAGAGAGGGGGAGGGACAGTCGCCCAAATAGAGTGATAGTTAGAGTGAGAGAGAGTGAGAGTCACCCAAACAGAAAGAGAAAGTAAAATAGCGAGAGATGGCAAAAGAGAAGACAACAGCAACCCAAAGAGAGAGGAAGTAAAAGAAAGAGGAACACTCCCAAACAGAAAGGGACAGCCACTCAGAAAGACAAAGGGACAGCCACTCAGAGAGGAGAGAGAGGCAGCAAGAGAGCGAGAGTAAGAAACAGTTAAAGAGAAAATAAGAGAGAGCAAGCTAAAGAAGTAGAAGAGAGAGGGGGACTCATACTTCTTGTAGGCCCCCCTGAGCAGGTTGGTGTTGGCCTGGGTAGGGGCAGGCAGGCCCAGCCTGCGGTACACATCCCTCCACTGGTTGTGGTTGGTGACCCGGTTGCAGCCCCCCAGCTTGCCCACCACCCGGAACAGCCGGTACAGGTTCAGGTCCCGGCCCCCCATCGCGGGGCCCTTGTTGATGGGGGTCCCTGCAAGAAGACGGCAACACCCCTTCCGTTACCGGGGAGCCCAAAGACTCATCCTTCGGGGACTACCGTCGCTCAGGGAAAATTTGTGCAAGACCGAGACGGTGAGCTTCCTGCAGATTCTGTATCTGACATCCAAATATTGCAGCATTTTTTTCTTTGTTGCGTCAGTGCTGGTCTCTGCTGGTATTATGGTCAAGAGTGGTTAGTAAGTGAAAATATCCAAGTAGCCATCAGTCAATCCAGCTACTTCTTCGTTGCAAACCCGTGCCGGATTTTGGCTTTCTATCAAGCTAAGAGTTGTTTGCAGGCACGAATGTTGAAGTATCTGTCAATCAATCCGTCTCGCATAAAATAAGAAAACCCTTACTGGAGTTTTCGTCTATGTTATCCAAAGAAACCAGCTGACTCCAAAAGGGGCTGAAAGTTAAGCTAGTTGCAACCAATTCAAAAATGTAAAAAACAAATGAGAAAAAAAATTTTTTAAGACACCTAAGCACTTTTTATGAGTTGTGAATACAAAAGCATGAATGTTATTCTTCCAATCCCTTAGTCTGTCAGCGGTGTACTGGCGTGGAGGGCCACATTTCGCTAATGCCGAGGTTTGGCGCCAAGAGGAGCAAAGCCGTTACTGCCGAGTCTCAGCTGAGACCCTGTTCTAGCAAGCCAGCCCAGAAGCAACCGAAAGCCTCCCCCAACTCCCTCCGGCAACGCCTGACGCGAGAGCAGAGACTGAGCGCGTGCTCTCGTGATATGGCCGCCAATGGGTATTTTTAGGAGCAGTTCCACTCGACCAACAGGAGAGTGGACATTTCTTTCGCGGTTCCAGAAGCCGCCGGCTCCGCTCTATGGGATAGTTAATGCTTTTGCATTCAAAAATGCATAGCAAACTGCTGGGCAGTTGTGCTGCACGTGAGACGTTCAAGCATCTTGCTACTTTGGTGATGCTTGCTCGGCTCGTTCGGTACGTTCAGTCCTGGGTGTTATGTATGGGTCTTCGTCGTGTGTGTCTAATTCAATGTTGTTGCTTGCGGTTGCACCTTTGGGCATTGGTTGTGATCGTTTAGCAGCCCGACTGGGTATGTTGAGCTATAGATGTCTTCGTCCAGCTTTATTCTTTTGGGACTGGCACCTACTCTCTAGGCGCTCTTTGTCGATAACTTTAGCTGTTAGCTTAACACGTGGCACGTACATTTAATAGCAGTTCCTGGAATAAAAATACCAACAATACTCCTAGTATATAAAAAATCAACCAATCAGCGTTCAGCTTGGGTGCGACGTCATAAGTGACATCATACCTCATTCAGCCAATCAGCACTAGGATAATCGGCGGTTTCACAAAGCTTTTAAACTCCCCCCAACAAAGCAAAAAATGTTTCACGTTAAAAAGAAAGAAACCCGTTTAAATACAGGTCTCTGACCCATTTATTTAGTATCCGCTCACCTAAAAAAATAGTGCAAAGCACAACGGACAGAAAATAAGCACGCACGAAATGCACCTGCAAGTATATCTGTTTTGTCGCGCAGTAGGTCGTCATTTCCAAACTAGTCCGTAGGGTCGTCATAGTGGCTCTAAGCCAACAAGTCTCAGCCTATGGGTCCCTAAAAATTGGGTTTTAACGCAGCAGGAACAACCAAGCGTAAAATTCAGTCTTAGGCTAGGTGGCACCAGCTGGCACCCGACACAAAAGGTGTAACAACTAACTTCCTTCTACCCAGAGCGTCGCTGGGGCAAGAAAAGTGCCGACTCACCTCGCTCGTCCATGAACTTGTACAGCTGAGCCACAAAGCGGTCCTTTTCTTCGCTCGGTTCGTCGTCAGATACCTGCACAAAAAGGTCAGACTCACTTCAGCCTACTCAGCAAGAGCGCGGGTCACTCTTCTTCCTTAAAGAGATCAAACTAGGTCACGACACTGCAACCGACGGCTTCAGAATGACGAACCCGTGCAAACAAACCCAACTAAGCCAGGCTTCAAGATGGCTGACACTGGCCAATCAGAACGCTCGATTGTCCAGCTCAGGCAACTGCTACCCAAGATGGTCGACGCTGGCCATTCAGAAAGTGCAATTGTCCAGTTCGAGAGCATTCCATGCAAGATGGCCGACACTGGCCAATCGGAAAGCTCGACTGTCCAGTTCAATGGGACCCTCTGCAAGACGGCCAACACTGGCCAATCAAAAAGCTTTGTTCGTCCAGTTCTAAAGGATTCCGGCCAACACTGACCAATCGGAAAGCTCGAATATTTAGTTCAAGTCGACTCAACGGAATGCAGTACTCTCAGAGCATTCAGTGGCTCTCTGGTTTGTTGCAGGTTCAGAATAACAGGACAAGACCCTCTCATAAAGCTCTCCACTCACGACTGGCGGCCTCCCCCTCTCCACACATGCCTCCCCTCGAACGTTTTCTCTGGTAAAGTGGAAAGAGTAGAGGAGTGCGAATATAAAACAACCGCATCTCCACGTGGTGAATGATGTTGATTGGGGCGAAGCTCTGGTGGTGCTTGTCTGCGTAGACGCTGAGCCGCAGCATGTCGAGCCTTTCGTTCGTTTTCATTCAGGCCACGCTGCGGTCAAATGCTCAAATCAGGGGTGGAACTCATGAAATGTACTTGGGAGCAGCCACGGGAGCAGCTGAAACAGCTGTTTTGGAGCAGGTTGGGAGCAGCTAAAACTACATTCTGGAGCAGGCTAGGAGCAGCTCAGATCAGTTTGCATTGCACTTCAGCTTGTATCTTAGACAAGCACGAAAGCAATTTCAATTGTGCTTAGCAGCAGAGATGAACATGAGCGGTTAGGGACCTAGGTAGATGGAATAACAGTGTAACAGATGCGAAAACTTGAAACTTTGTGAGCCTTAATGAGAATCAAAAAGCAAGTAGCCTATATGTTTCTGAAGATAGCGTCCTTGACATTTTCTAAGTGGCTTTCAGCTGCTCAAAATGCAAAACCAGCACTGCTTATCGCACAGCCCATACGTGCTCGACATAGTAATTATATGTGCGAACCACGTGACGTGCGTAAGCGACGGACGTGCAGTTGCACGGAGGAACAGGGCAACAAATTTCGAGTTTATCCTATTGTGCAACTCGATATCGAAGCAGCAGACTACGATTAGCGAAGTTATCGTATTTGAAGCGATAAGCAGGAGCAAGCTTAAAGTACGCCGAGCAGATAAGTAGAGCTGCTGACCGGCAAGGTTTCGGATCGGACCGCGTGTCAGTTCTATCAAATCACGATTTATCTTGCAAGAATGCGGTTCCAACTCTTAACGATGAAGCACTAAAAGGAATATTTTGCTCATTTGCTTTTGACTGGATGACGTCCGGATCCCGGGCCGCAGAGCCTCATGCAATCTGACGCTTAACGACTCGACCTTACCTCGGCCTACTTGCCCTACCGCTTATGGTTGAAGAGTAATGTTCAATCCAGTCGCAGGTGGTGTAGCGCTTAGAATCCGAGTTTTTTTCGCGCGCTTCCGACTCGCGATAGACAAGGGGAATACACAGAACAAGGGATTGCAAGGCCGACCAGGCTAAACGCCCTCATTGTTGACAATCGAGTCGATAAAAACCGAAACCAAGACAAAATAAAATGTTTTTTTTGGCGCACGTTTTGCGATTTGGCGCATAATGGCGCGAGGTATTGGCTGTGGCGCAGTTTCTGCAACATGGCGCAGGATGGCGCAGACACATGCGTCTGGCGCAAAATGGCGCAAATGGCGCAGCCGTTCCACCCCTGTCAAATGCGTATATAACCACGTTCCATACCGCACATTCTCTTTCTGACATGGATGAAAACGAACGAAAGGCTCGACATGCTGCGGCTCAGCGTCTACGCAGACAAGCACCACCAGAGCTTCGCCCCAATCAACATCATTCACCACGTGGAGATGCGGTTGCTTTTTTTTTTGCCCTACACGAGCATGGGAACACGTGCTCACGTGCTTGTGTGTGCACCCGACGGCGGACGGACATACGGACATGGCTAGCCCCTAATGAGCTTCGCCCCTAAAAATTTCCGAATATGAATTGTATATGTGTGAAATAATAAGAAACGGCGACAACCCTTGTCCTTTGCAACAAGGACTGCCTCCTCCATTGAACTCTATCGTTGTGTCAATGGACTCCCCAACGGCATGCTCGGTGCGTCCTTTTTATATTCTTCCATCAACCAAGGGTGCTGCTTAGGTGGTTTTGGAGCGTTGCAGTTGTTCCCATCGGTGTTTGAAAAACCCTTTCGCGCAACTTGCACCGAGCTGTCAACAGCGAGGGTGTTGTGTGGTACTGCCAAAGAAGGCTTTTTCCGGCTTTCGTTCCTTGTTTGCTCGGCAGTTCGTCAAATGCGGCCGAGGTCATACTCTGAGGACATGTCTGAACAAGAACAATACCGGCATTAACTAGAGCAGCTGGTGTGGCTGACAAATTGCCTAACAAAGTGCACAAAGCAGTGGAAGCCATCTTGTCCAGTAGTTTGAGTTGTTGTCTATGGCAATGCAATGTTCTTAGTTGTTTTTTCCTCTTTTTAGTTTTCAAACATTTATAAATACTCTGAAAAAACTTTATTGAGATAAGCTTACTGTTTGGCCTATTTTTAATCTGCAAAAAATACATAATGTGTATTGCTAAGAGTAGTACATAACTTGCCCGATCAAAAAAAAAAAATCTACTGTTTGGTGGGGCATATAAGAGTTTTATGTAAAACCGAAACTAAGCCCATATAGAACAAATAATGAATGCATAGTGTGTAGCTGTAGCTTTCGGTGACTAAACATCCTGAGATACTTCGGAATGTTCAGGGCATGCACGGCACACCTAATATTACTTATTTACCCTAATATTAGGAGCTCTGTCTGAATGTTCACAGTATTTTTTCTTAATATTCGGTCGGGAAAGTTCGAATATGCAATTCTTGAATATTCGGCCGTGGCCGAATACTTGGCAAATTCCAAATATGCAATTCTCAAATAAAATAAGAAAAATATTATAGTAGCATTCAAAATTTTGATTCTTCGCACACCCTTCGGAAAGAGTGGAGGGCTTTGAAGGAGGAGCTTGCTCTGCCATCCTCAACCCGCTACAGACCAAACCAGAGCAAGCATGAAGACCCGACTCACATCCGACTGAGAGTCCTGCTCGTCTTCGTCTGCTGCAGCGGCGGCGGGCGAGGACGCTTCGGGCGTGCGGTTCCTCGGAAGCAGTTCCTGCTGGTCCCAGTTTGGGGGCAGCACCCGCTGGTCCAGGAACGCGAGGGCCCGGTCCACCGCCGAACGCAGGGCGTTGCTCTCCACCCGCGCGCTGGAGTCCCGGCTGAACTCCCGTAGCTCCCGTTTGGTCACCTGGAAGCTGAACGAGCGACGCGGTAGTGCGTCAGCAGCAACGGCGCTTTCCGCACGCAGACGCACGTCGGGTACTATAGTCCGTTGCAACTCAAGAAGCTAGGCCGAGGGTAAGACAGGCCGGAAAGGAGGAGGCAGACGGAACACTGGAAGAGAGAGAGGGAAACCTCCTCCTCTCTCTTTAGCGTTCCATCTGCTTCCATCTCGCCGGCCCGTCTCACCCTCGCCCTACCCTCTTGAATTGCAACGGACTATAAGAACCCTATGCAGTTGTACATCTGGAACTATGGAAACTTCTCATGTACAGTGTGTCCCAACAAAAAAAAAAAATTTAGTTTCTTTTTTTTTTTGTAAAACTTAACAATGCATCGCTGAACGCTGCTGAGTCTCTGGCCAAAATGTAGTGACAGCGGTTTGAATCAGGTGCCGAAGTTTCAGAACAAAGGGTCACCTTATTCAAAAGTTGTAAGCGATTTTTCGAAAATTCCAACAGGACAATGGTGGCCGACGGAACCCACAAATACCTGGAGCTGAATACAGTGTCAACCACCAAGAACGGGTGCCACTTTCTTATTGACATTTTCAGAAAATCGCAGGCAACTTTTGGTTAAGAAAACAGTTGGTTATGAAACTTTGGCATCCAGTTCGAACCACCGGCGCTACATTTGGGTGGAGGCTGAGCGTTCGGCGATACACTGTTTATTTTTGGGGTCAAAAAAACACCGTGCGTTTTTTTTTTCAGAGACACACAGTACAGCTGGAATTAAAGATACTTCTCATGCATAGGATGTCCCACCCACCAAAAAAAAATGTAAACCATGTTTTCGTTGTAAACGTTAACTATTCTTCACTGAATGATCAATGTCTGCCCAGAGGTAGCGTTAGCAGTTCAGACCAGATGCCGAAGTTTCAAAATATACTTGCAGATGACTTTGTGTGGTTATGCAGCCAAAGCTATGGGCACACGGGCGCTCACAATCAAAGCCAAACACACGCGCTCTTCACTTCTCAAATGCCGCAGAAATTTGTTTGCGAGTATAACCGTTATCCCATTCAAAAGTTATAGGCAATTTTCTGAAACTTCTAGTGGAAAAAAGGCAGCCAGCGGATTTCACAAAGAAAGTTTAAAAAAAAATCACTTTACAACTTTTGAATGAGACGACGATTAGTTCTGAATCTTTGGCATTCGGTTTGAACTACTAACACCACATTATGGCGGAGACTGGGCGCTCAGCAACGCATACGTTGCTTTAACAATAAAAAAAAAAAAATTTTTATAGGGGACACAATGTTGTTGTGCATCAGTGCAACTATAGACTCTTCACAAGCACTTGTAAAGCTGGAACTAGTGATTCCTCTCGCGCAGTTCTGTGTCGGTAACTATAGACCCTTCGCATGCAGCTCTCTGTCGTACCCTGGTTACACCAGCCGCATCAACTCCACTGAACTAAGATAACAGTAATATGTTGTTCTTTTGCAGCCAGTTGACACCAAACCGAAAACTTCGGTGCCCCGTGACCAATCCAGACACTCAATTAGATGGACCACAGACGCATCTTAAAGCGCAGCTCTTAGGCGCCCAGTTCCAGCTTGAGCGGCGTTGGCATAACTGCGCGAAACGTCGCCGATCAGGACGTTTCGCATAGTGTGACATTTCCCACAATGCAAGACGTCGCGGTCATGACGTTTCACATAATGCGAAACGTCGCCCTCGGGATGTGTGCAAAACACCGCAATCGGAACGTTTCGCATGTGACGTTTTCCATAATGTGAAACGTCGCCGTTGGTGTAGGAGGAGGGAGGAGGTGGAGGAGGAGGAGAGGAGATGCCAACTACCCATTGTGCAGGCACGTAATATCACCACACATAAATCACAGAGAGGCACGTATGAAAACGTGGTGCACTCGTTATCCAAGCGGCCATCTACTTGGGTAAGGGTCTGTGCTGTACCCATCGATCTCTGTGGTACGTCAGACGAAGTTGGTGAACTTTCTGCTGCCAAGGTCGACAACGGCTTGCTCGTGGTAGCTCTGTATCTCTAGCCTACGGCACTCGCCGAATATTTGGTACAAGACGTAGAAGAACTTCATACCAGTCATGCGGGAAAACATCCCATTGGCCCTGAGAACTGTGCACTCGCTCTTCTCTGTGCCATCTCAAGGGAGCACGCTCAAAACTAATGGTGAGGAAATCAAAAACACCGAGCAGTCTTCGACAGAGCCGAGAGCAAGTAGGATGACATCGAGAGTATCACGTGCTTCGTCAAAGTGTTGACTCTAACGCTCTCTTGTTCTCCAGCATTGATCCTGCTGTCCTGTTTCCTGGCACCGGCAGAACTTAGACAGAGTGGAGCTTCCAGATGGGAGAACTATATTTCCTTTCTCCGGACAAACGGAGAGCGAGAATACCAGCATATATATATATATATATATATATATATATCTTTCTAGGATTGTTTAGCACGGTATATCGCAAAATCGGAATAACTCAAGAGAGGAGCAAAAGGAGGAGGAAAAAAAGGGAAGAGGAGGAGCAGAGGACGAGGGGAGGAGCACGGGAGGAGGAGAGGGTATGGATGAGGAGTGGCATACCCTCCCCTCTGTACCCTCTCTTCCTCCCCCTCAAGAGCTGCGCTCTAATTTGGCATTACAGGAAGTTGTAAACATCTTTCATTTTCTTATTATGACAAGTGTTTAATGCGAGATAAGGTATGTCTTTCTCTCGTTTCTGTAGCATGAAAACGAGTATGAAAGTGCTTCAAAAGCACGCGAGCAGGAGCAACGTCAAAGAGGGTGCATTCCCATTAACAAAAAAGAGTGGCTGCACTTGTAGATTACGGGCTTTCTGCCCGTTCTGAAGCCTGACGGGATTGTAACGGCAGCCCTGATCCCCAAACATGTCCTGTCCCAAAAATAGTTGCTGCTACGAATGTTCCTAGATGCCTACCCCACATTTCAAGCTGAGTAAGTATGTCGCTGGTGCTAGCCATTGATGGTGATATCACCAACACAACCATTCTGAAGTTAATAAAGTCCGACCAGTTTAAATGATGTAGGCGAGCACGGTACAGCTTGACAGTGCTGAGTGGCTCCTCACACAATCACAGAGTGGAATGCATTGCCAGAGTCTACTATCAAAAGTATTTACAAAAGATTGGTTCTTTCAGGAAGTGATTTTTATGTTTTCTTTGCTTGTTTTCTAACTTGATTTTGTGTTTAATTTACAACTTTTATTGATTTCCAACCTAATCACGTTCAACAAGATTTTTTGTTTTTTTTTCGTTTCGTTTCTTATTACTAGGTAGTTATAATGCCTCGGCACTGCAAGTTGTTCTTGTAAATAAATAAATGACAGTTGCCACCACTTTGGAACTCTGGCAGACAGCAATTCTAGAACCATAGCAAATGTTTGACTTCTCGCAACCAAATCATACGAAAAAAACAACACCCAATGAAATCTAAAAATCCCACAGAAAATGCTCAAATTTGAGGGTTTCATGTGCCAAACCAACTGAGGGCATCCGGCACGCCACAGCGGAGTACTGAGGACTAATTTGGGCCACCTGGGGTCCTTTTGATGTGCAACCGAAATCTCGGTTATACCATAGCGTCTTCTCCGCAATAAGCCTCCGTCAGATTGCAGTTATCTAGGCCTGGATTCGGACCCGCCACCTGGGCGGCTAAACCCCGCAGAAACTATCGAGGCGAAAAGAGCCACTCACAACTTGCTGTCGCGGAACGACCTCACGAGCAGCTCGTCCCTCCCAAGTTGACCACCGGTGCTCCCAGTGGCGGATGGAGACACTACCAGGACAGGAACCCAGGAATCCCGCTTGCGCTTGTCCCCGACGTCCAGGCAGCCGACACGGCCCACGCTCCAGTCCGGCAGGGACGGGGAGGACAAAGACGCCGCCGCCACCGATGCCGCCGTCGCGTTGCCGTGGCGACCGCCCGTCGAAGTGGCGGAGCTGGCAGAGGACCCGCCCCTTTCGCCACGCCCGCCGCCCCCCGACTTCTTGGGCGGTGTCGGAGTGGGCAAAGCCTCGTCTTCGGAACTGTCGTCTTCCCTGTGTCGGAGAGAAGGAGAAGGGTTTGAACTCGGATCCGTTTCGGTGAAAGCGAGGCATTTCGTTGGAGGGAGGTACCACAGCCTAAATTAACACCCCAGCTATTAGAAATGGCTTTCCCACTAAACACATGCAAGAAAAGCCTCTGCTATAATAGAAAAGGCGAGAATTAAAGCACAAGAAACGGAGAACAAGCTGAAGAGAGAAATACAGACTAAGCGCTACTTACAGCCAAAAAGGTAAACGAAAATGGTACGCACACCGCAAATCACAAGAATGATGATCACAGTATGCAATACCAACTTGCCCAAGAACATACTCTTCTAAAGAAAAGGCTTAGCACATGCAACTATGAGCCCACTTATGACGAGCGTCTTTGGTTACCGGCGCTCATTTGTGGCAATGTTGAGCACGCTAAAACGGCTCAGCCCTAGTGCACCAAATCGACAAAGATAATTATCTGATATACTGCTGGTCGGTTGCTTCAATAGTGGGGCCAGTGTATGCACCGCTTCACCTTGGTTGTTAGGATAGCAGTGCGACCTATCTGCCGGAAGAGCCAATCACACACTGTAGAAAAAGTTACACCTTTACAAGGGCATGTGGACGCATGCTTTAGTTCCGACAAGCCTTGAGACAGGGCGGAATGCAGGGAAAAGCAATCCCCACTTTGGTAGAAGTTGTGATTTAAGATGGTGCTGTCCAGGCACGTAGCCAGGATTTTGCTTTGGGGGGGGCCCACCCATGACAAAGTGCTGTATGAGGGGGAGGGGGGAGAGGAGGCCCCAGCAAAATGGAAGATTTCGGGGTGGGGGGGGGGGGGGGCGGGCCCCATGGGTCCCCCCCCCCGTGGCTACATGCCTGGTGCTGTCCTTTGCTACACTGCAAGCTTGTATAGAAAACTGCTCTTTACAAAGGTGAAGCTCCAGGACACCTAATACAGCAAAGATGCCTCCTGGCAGTGGTGGTATGGGAGAGATGCGGAGGAACTCACATGACAGCCGCGGCAGAGAGCACGGATCTTCGCTTCCGCTTGAACTTGGATCCCATGACTGGGGTGCCAAAGTGTTCCGGATTGGTGAGGGGAAGCTGGTCCAAAGTCTAAAGATAGAGAGAGGGATTGGGCAAAAAGTGAGCAACGTTGTGAGAAAATGGCTCCACAAAACACTGTACTACTTGCGGTCGTCTAAACTTCATTATTGTGAAAGTCTGCACTGCTTGGCCCGTGGAATCTTCATTGTTTCGGTACATTTCTTGAGGACATAGCTTCACTGCATGCAATTGGGAGAGCAAGTCGTCTGCTTCTTGCGCAGGGGTTGTGGTGACCTCAGAACGACGTTGAGTTCTGGTTGGCTTTGATTGGAAGGATAGTGAAGCCAGTCTATGCACCGCTTCACCTCAATGCTAAATGCCTTGATGCCAACCTCAATGCTAAATGCCTTAATGACTACCCACTATTTTTTTTTTTTTTTTTTTTCAGTTAGCCAATAAGAGTTTGGCATTCTGACATCATTGCAACCCCTGTGCAAGAAGCAGAAGAACTTGTGCTTCACATAGACTTTACTCTTTGCTTATGCCTTTCTTTGCTTTCACATTTAAACACTCAATTAAGGTGCAACAACACCAACAGCTGATGGTGGACACAAAACACAGATCTTATGCCAACACAACCACTTAAAAAGTTAACAAAAACAGAAGCTTTGTGATACCCCCAAGGCAAGGGAAAGCCATGGCACGAAAGGCTGGGTGACATCCATATATTATAATAACTAAAAAAAAGAAACAGTTAAAATGATTCCAACACTTCTACATCATACATTTTTTGTATACTAGTTCCAGAAAACGTTCTAAGCTCAAGATCAAGCCCATCACAATCACAAAATGTATCTTCCTGGATGATTACCAGCGAAACGGCATTCAATTAGAGCCACTCGAGCAACTGGAAACACATGCACCGTTCCCCTTTTTTTAAGTTTTCCCACATTCATGGCTGGTGTCCAGCACTTGAGCTGGAAGCAAGTATAAACCTTAACATTTCTAGTAATAGCTGTTACAACAGAAACCATAGCGCGACGTCAACTCCTCTAGGCCGACTCAAGGCTAATCCCCCGAGCGACCGCAAATGCACTCGCCTCGCTCTCTGCAAAGTGCCGTCCGCTCTTCAGACATAGCGACGTCCTTCTCAGCGTCGTCTCGTCACCGTCGTCGAACACTGCAGAGAAAGCAGACGTACAGCATGACGCTAGAATTTTCGTCTTCCACCAATGTGGAGCGCAAGTTGGTCTGCTTCTTTCGCAGGGGTTGTGGTGACACCAGAACGCCGAGCTCCGATTGGCTCCGACTCAAGGATAATGGGTAGAACTCAAAGCAAGCTTTCTTGAGGTCCACCCACTATCTTTCAATCAGAGCCAATCAAAGTTCGGCGTAATTCTGACGTTGCCACAACCCCTGCAAAAGAAGCAGACCAACTTGCGCTCCGCACAGACTAGACCAGTCGTCACGTCCGCGAGACGCTGGCGCCTATAGACGCTTTCAGCGAGTCAGTTACTCGAGCTGCCACCAGTCGGCGCGCCCTCCGCGCACTTTCTGGGCCGCCATAGCCGACCTTCAGTTTCTCGCAGTTGCTCCGCGTTGTGTGCTGCACCGGCCACCACCAGAGCTTTGTTTTCGCGTTCTTCACGTTCCGCGTTGAAATCGTGTGTTTTCTTGAGGTCTTTTCAATATTTAGGGCTTTCATTTAATCATTTGATATGTACATTTCAACATAGCTCTTGTATTTTCTTATTTATGAAATGAAATCGGATAGCGAATGGACTGACGATACAAGATTGTGGCCTAGGCTTCCGAGACCATGTAAGTTCATCAAATTCTTATGTTTTTGTCGCCAATAAAGGGCAGTCAACACCATTACGACCTATGCAAATTTTAACTGACGCAGTAATTATTAGGCTCTCGCAGTCGTGCTTCTCGCTGCATGTGCGCGCTCGTTTCCGTAAAGCCGAACCGTATGTAAGCGATTTAGCGTGCAACGAGTCGAGCGACGGCGACAACGACGGCGGTCATCGACGAGCAACAAAGATTTCTCACTGTCACCCGTCGCATTGCTCAGTTTTCGGATTTCTAGAGGACTTAGCGCTCACCGTCTTGGTCGCTCGCACCCGTCGCTTCCATGCGGTTTGCCTCGTTGCACGACTGACCGAGCGACAGCGAAGCAGGTCGCCGTCGCTTGTCTCGTTGCTCGCCAAATCGCTTGCATCCGCTTTATACTTAATTAATTTCGATGCACACAGCATTGAACCATTAGCGCCTCGATATTAAGTATAAAGCGCATGTAAGCGATTTGGCGAGCAACGAGACAAACGACGGCGACCCGCTTTGCTGTCGCTCGATCAGTCGCGCGACGAGGCAAACCGCATGGAAGAGACGGGAGCAAGTGACGAAGATGGTGAGCGCTAAGTTCTCTAGAAATCGGAAAACCGAGCGATGCGACGGGCGACAGTGAGAAATCTCCGTTTCTCGTCAATGACTTCCGTCGTTGTCGCCGTCGCTCGACTCGTCGCACGCTAAATCGCTTACATGCAGTTCGGCTTTGCAGAAACGAGCACGCACATGCAGCGAGAAGCACGAGTGCGATAGCCTAACTGGGTCAGTTGAGATTTGCATAGGTCGCAATGGTGTTGACTGCCCTTTATTAGCGACAAAAACGTAAAAATTTGATGAACTTACGTGGTCTCTGAAGCCTAGGCCACAATCTTGTATCGTCGAACCATTCGCTGTCCGATTCCATTCCATAAATAAGAAAATACAAGAGCTATGTTGAAATGTACATATCGAATGATTAAGTGAAAACCCAAAATACCGAAAAGACCTAAAGAAAGCACATGATTTCAACGCGGAACGTAAAGAACACGTAAACAAAGCTCCGTAGTGGCCGTTGCAGCACACAACACGGAGCAACGACGAGAAACTGAAGGTCGGCTAAGGCGGCAGGGTCACGTGACGTCAAGATGGCGGGGCCCACGAAATGTTGCCTGAAAGGGCCTATAATGCGTCTCCGACCGGTGCCTTGATAATGTCCTCGAATGTGGCCCCTCGATTTCGACCCGACGACGTCACAAAAGTGTCACGCCGTGGCAGACGCCCGTCCTGCTGCAGGTCGCCCTCCGACCTGACAGTCCCTTGAAGCTTCTGCCACCAGCAGCTGGGACGCCGCGACGACGAAGATTTTTGCGTTCGCTCTCACTTCTTGACGAAGCATCTACGACCGACCACCGGGATCACGACGTCAGACAGCACGACACGCCGGCTCCCTCGACACCGTTTGTTGCCATTTTGGGACCACTCTTGACGGGGTTGGGTTAAAGTACATCTAAAAAGTATCTGAAGTAAAGTACAAAGAAAATTAGAGGTTATGTAGTTCAAGTAAAAGTAGTAAGTGCACTGGGTGCAAGCTACTTCAAGTGAAGTATACTATTAAAAAATTCACTTTTGAAGTAGAGAAGTACTTTTTAAGACAGTCTTTCATGATGCCTTTAGTCCCCCTATACTGCGATTTTTTTAAATGGGAGATAGGGGGTGCATTGGTTATTTTCGGAATAATGGCGCATATTGGATTAAGTCGAGCGGCTTTAGAGTTGACAAAGCATGATTTTGTGACAAAATTTGGAGAATGTACTCTGAAGTCGGGAGTTGTACTTTTCTCAAAAAGTACCAGAAAAAACAAATACTGTAAAGTATAAGTAAATGCTCGAAGAACGTACTTCAAGTAAAGTACAAGTATTCTAAACCTCCTCAAAGTAGTACTGTAACTACAATGTACTTTAAATACTTCCTAACACTGACTTGTGATGGATGGGAGAAATGAGACGGTTAGGGGGAGACCCTGGTCTTGCTAGATTTTCTGTAATTTATATTTAATGGACCTTTTCCAGTTAGCTTCTGCACATGTGCACACCCTCTCCCCTGGCCTCGCTTCCTGCTGTCTCCATTTTCGCAGGGCACATTCCCACACGACCAACATTGTTAGCGCCTATCTTTCCGCATACACATATTTTGTCTTTTTTGATGATTCTTTTTCTGGGTATCAGTGGCATGGGGCATAAAGAGCGATGAAAACCAATACAACAGCACAATGTCAATATGTTTTGACAAGCGGAGTCCTGTTGGGTTCGCAGACAAACCGCCACACGGCGGTTTGTCCACGAACCCTCATCGAGAAAAGTCCATTCTCACAACTCGTATAAATTTTTCTGCAAAGCGCAAATGTAAGCTTATTCTTTTTTATTATAGAGTTCAAGAAAATCTCATCTTTATCACATATGTTTCTTCCCAACTTTCCTACGATGTCCCCCTCAATACTATGGCACAAAGTATGTTTGCGCATTCTACAAGACAGTAAAAACAACAAAATCATTCTTATAACTTTAGCTTTACTCTACACAAGATTCTGACAAGGTGAATCGCAAACTATCAGAAACTAATCGCTAAAGCCCCAGCCAATTAAAAATTTTCCGGTCGACATTTGCAGAAATATTAGTTTCTTTGCACTTTCTGATATATGACGAATCCCAACCCTAAAAAAAATATTCAAATTCTAGTACTAGATCCAAAGATACAGTGGGTGCTGTGACAAAAAGAAATTAACTCTGAGAAAATAGAAAAAGCTTTTCAAAGCACACTTGTAAACAGCCCGAGTATGAAACTAAATCGACGTTACCATATAACTGTGCACTTCCTCAGTGTAGTATAATTATAAAATACATTGTGTGTTACTTGTAGATTTAACAAAAGCTCGACTTTTTTCTTTTTTAAACGGTTAGCTTTTTTAGGATCTTCAGGCCACTTGTAGGTATGTTTCCGGACGTTTATTTTCACCGCTAACTTTATCAAGGAAAATAACATCACATGACTCAATGTCACGCCACCTACACAAATTCAGTTTCCCCGCAAGATTTCACGGAAAATCAATGTCATGTGACCTCAGCACCCAATTCAGTTTCCCTGCAATATTTAGCGAGAAAATGATATCACGTGACCTATATACAAGTTCAGCTTCCCTGCTCAATTTAGCGGAAAAATTGACGTCCCACGATGCCACATGATTTGCCGTGGCCCAATCCAAACTAACCCCCCCCCCCCCTTCCCAATCCACACTAGCCGCCCATTCCCAAATTCGTAAGATCTGAGAAAATATGCACAGTACATTTATACGTAAAACTGATGACCGGACAAGCACCCAACCCCCATTTTTTCGCAATTACCCCCAAATTTAAAGTGGGCGCTTGCCCGGTATTTAACGGTAAGCACAAATTCTGTTTCCTCGCTAGATTCAGTGGAAAAATTAACATTACACGATTTCAACACCGGTTCAGTTTCCTCACTAAAATTTAGCAGGAAAAATTATGTCACGTGGTTAAACGTCATGTGACGTAAACACCAATTCAGTTTCCTTGCTGAATTTTGCGGTGAAAATGACATCACACGACTCGACGTCGTGCGAACCAACACGCAAATTCAGTTCACCCGCTGGGAAAATTGATGCGCGACCTGCCGCAGCGCCTTCATTTAAATCTGTAGCCAATCGCTTAATTAGACAGCAACATAGTCGATTCTGCCAAAATGTTTTTCTTTTAAGACTTTTAGCACACAAGTCGAAGATGCATTCTAGGCACAGCAGCGAGACGAACGACAAAACCTTACCGACTGTGTACTGGCTGTAGTCCAGGAGCTTCCCGACGACCGCGTCGAAAAACTGGTTCTTGTCCGGATGCTTTGCCTCCACGTGGGCCCCGACCTTCGCATTCGCCGAGAGAGAGCAACGTCGGACGGAGAAAAGGGAGTCAGGACACGGAGTTCTGCGGCGAGACATCTCGGGCCGGCCAAGCGGAAGCTTTGAAAGGCGATCGCCGCTCTGCAGCGCAAGAACTTACTTCGGCACGTCTGCTTTCCGCTGAAGACAGTCGCAAAAGACGACACAATCTGAGCGGACGCCGCGAAAGCGAATTTTTCGACTCATCGTCGAGAACCACGGCGAAATACGTGATCCGTGAACTCGAAGGACGCGTTCGACCCACTAGAAAGAGGTCGTGACCTCCTGCAATGCGTCGGTAAACTTTCGGCAAAATCTGCGAAACTGCTTGTCCTAAGTCGAGATGCACTTCGTAAACTCCCAAAAAAGAGTCCACCGCAATTTTGTGCCTGATCTTTTTTTTTTTTTTTTTTTTTTTTTTTCCCTTTTGGAAAGAGCAGATTTAAGGAAGTATTTGAGCACTCAGTTACACAGTGTTTGATGTATACCGACCAATAGAAATCTCAACTCTGTTTAAAGATAACCATTTTTTTTTTTCACAACATACATTTTAATTTAGGATGGGCTACCACTCTGGATGCCGCTGTATATTTGAGATGTTCTCGGATCACTGTTTTGGCAGGACTGGGGTCAAAAAGAGAATCTTGTGCCAACACCACTGCACAAAAAAAGAGACCTACAGCTATCGCGTCCGTTATCGAAGCTTAGAGTTAAGCGTTTTGTCATTGAAAAAGGAAAAAGGGACATCTACGCAAAGAGGTAAGGAGACGCGCTTACCCGCAGGGTCCCACCCTTGATGTGGTCGTCGGGTATGACGTGGGTGCCATGATTATTCTTGAAGGTCACCTACAGAAGGGTTGAGAGAGGTGAACCGCACACACCACCACAGCTGTAAACAACTTACCTATCTAGACTAACATTTGAAACACATCTAATCGTCAACAGAATAAGCTGCACGGATGAAAGACATTCTTATCTGACGGAATCGCATCTGAGAAAGTGGTGGCAGAAAAGTAGATGCGCCTAAAATGGCATGTCAAGGGCAAGGGTTTGCGTTTTGAGCAGCAATATTCTTAAATGCTCTAATTAGCTGTGGGAGAAATGAAATAATGTTCGACAAAGATATATGTTTTAATAGAGACAGCAAAACACACTAGAATAACAAACAGAAAGAATGGTTATCTCATACACCCTAAATAATGCTAGTTCCAATGGTTGCTAAATGGGCCCCATCTGGCTTGAAAACAAAACTCAATGTCCCCAAAAACTTAGAACTTGGTTTGAAGTACAGTCAAACCTTACCTCACGAACCCACGGATCACTGACCTATCAATGTCTCAACAGATTCCCAGGAAAAAAAGCTCCCTGCATGCCAACTGTTTCAAATATTAAAGCTATAAATTATCTTTGAGGCAAGCCTTAATAATGTCGCACAGATCTTCAAACCTGAAAATCAAATACCATTCTCTACTCTTCGCCCACCAATTACCTCATTGCCACGGTTTGACCCCAACCTAGATTGCAACAGAACACCAGCATCTTTCCTGGCATTATAGAACACTACCAGAGCAGTGATCTGTTGATTCACAGCACGCTATGTCTGTTAATGTACAAGTGGCTTATAGCCACCACTATTTTGTTCTGCAGGGCTTCTTCAGTATTTCCGGAAAGACACAGTTTTATAAAGCAACTCTGCATTCAAATATCCAGCGATTCTACCTTGCTCGATTGCGGATAGTTTGAAGCAGGAACAGGTCGTTGACAATTGACATAGTGGTCTCACACAATAATATGAGGTTAAAGGGGGAGAGGTGCAATGTTCCTGGACAAGGTGGTGTGCAAGCTACTGCGCCACACAAAGGATATAGCCACTACAATCCATTCATACATCCACGTTGTTAATGCCGTTACAATTATTCTCCATTTCACGAGAACTTGGCGAATGGTGGAGGCTGCGGCACCCACAACCCAATAAGGGCGTCGGAGCAAATCACGTGATAACACTCTATGGCCTCGTTACCACCAGAACAACAGCACCATCCACAACAAAAAGTACCGTATTTACTCGCATATTGGTCGATACGTCGTATAGGTCGACCCCCTAACTTCGGGACCCCCCCAAAAAAAAAAAAAGTTGAAAAATATAATACCGGGATTCGCGTATTGGTCGACCCCCCAGTTTTGATGAGGCGATTTTTGAAAAACAGGTCGACCTATACGCGAGTAAATACGGTAGTTCTAGGTTGTTTTTTTCTTCTTATAACAGCAATTAAATTCGTGCAATTTTATCTATATCGAGAATATATTAAAAAAATATTAAAGAATAAATATTGACGAATTTACGAGTTTTAAATATATTTAGAACAAAAAAGTGACAAGACATCATATCCACTCCCAATTTGTTTCTTGTAGCACCATGGCTGTTGGCGATCACAGCCGTCTAATCGACCGCTTCCACCCAAGACATCGCCCTGGCATTAGTGCCAGCCACAGATTCGTGGGTAAATTGAGCAAATGGTTGTCTAATGATCTGTTTCCGAAGAGCTCGCTACTCTAGCGGATGGCAATGTTGCGTCGGTGGACGTTCATCCGAACTTGGCTGGTTTCGCAGCATATGACTCTTGGTCAGCAGACCACAATTGGTTTCCTGGTGCAGTGACACATACGCTTCAGTGACCTGGTGTCACATGCCTCACTCTGACGCTCTTATTGGGTAGCGCAGGCCGTAGCCCCACAGTTCGCCAAGTTATCGTTAGACGGTACATAGGCGCAGATTTCTTAAAGGACCCATAGTGGGCGGGAGGTTGAGAATTCAGTAGATGCTCTGCCTCCAGCACAAGCTTTCCACATTCGATAGCAGATCGCCACACACACAGCCAAAGCCCATCGATATGCAACGAGTGCGTGCTGGAGGCAGAACTTCTACTGAAAATTTAGCCCCCCACCGATTGTAGCTCTCGTCATTATTGTGGACCCCGAGAGACACACGGGTGAACGTGGCAACCAACTCACCCTGCACTTGACCATGCGGTTGACCTTCTTTATCTTGGCCTCGCAAAAGGCACCCCGGTACTTGGCACTGACATCCGTGCCCACTGTCAGGTACAGCGGCTCGTCAGAAGCCTGCACACAAACAAAGAAGCGTGAACGCAAGAAGGCTGGGAACACCCAAGGAAAGCATTCGGCGAATGGAAGACATCCAGAAATCAGTGGAAGTTGTTAGACGCCGTTTCGGACGTAACTCGGCACAGGGTGAATGCCACAGCCCTCGTTAGTTAATCGGAGCAGCAGCACTAGGCGTGCGGCTCACTTTGACTGGCTTGCTAGTGCCATAGCCATAGCCGTCTGCCGAGTTAAGCTGAAACGTAGTATGGCAATCTCGCAGAGTGAGCGTTCTCGCAAGGGGACATTCAGACTCGTGAAGCGAACTACAGAAATGTAATGAAACGAAAAATGGATTGACAGGTAATCTTCAGAAAGAAAAAAGAAACAAGAACACAACGTAGAGGGACATTTCATGAGAATTCCGCGCCTAAATAAGCAAAGGAAATGCACAAGCCACAACCAAGGCAGACGTAGACGATCTACATTTACATCTGCCACCTGTCACGAGCTTGCTATGTTTTTGGTGCCATACACATGCAGACAATGCTGCAGCATCTCTACAACGATAACCTCCTGAATTGCCATCAGAAATGCTAAACTAAGAGCAGTAGAGTGCTGCATGCTCAGAATCGGAATAGGGTGCCAAAGTTGCTGAATTTCTGGCGCGTTTGCAAGCACGAAATAATAAGGGAGCACTGCAACGTTGCCACGTAGACTGGTGTCAAAGACAGGTGTGCGACTATGTAGCAGTTTAAGAAAAGCAGGACAGGCCTTTCCCACAGGTTTTTTACTTGCCATGATTGGTTGTTTCCTCCTCTCCAGGATTCACCCTACTAAAGTGGAAAGAGTGGAAGGCTTCGTGGGAGCAGGTTGTCCTACTTTTCGGAACCTCCGACAGACTTTAGACAATTGCAAGCATGGTGCCGGACTGGTGCCCCATCCGTGCAAGCACGCGCAGCTTACGCGGGAACATAGCTCTGGCAAGCCTGCACATGTACGGGTAAAATGGCAGCGGCCAGACGCCTTGCTTGCAGTCGTCTATAGACACATTTGGTGCACAGTTTCGTGCATCAAACTGTTTTGAGCTACAACACACAGCATCGGTTACGAGAGCACCCGAACGTAGACGATCTACATGAATGAATCGAGTGGTCTCAAAAAGTTCTCAGATGTCAGGGTATTCACAACATGCAAGATAGACAAGCTAGCTTAAAAATCTCAGTCAGTCTGATCACTTGCACGACAATCTTGGCACTTCGAAAAAAATCAAACGCGGACGAGCCCCATTTTTTTCTCTCTCCCTCTCTCCCAGAATGAGGACAACGTCCGACGCACGTACCGACTTCCGCAGGTACTTCATGGCACGGCAGCACGAATCATGGCAGACAATACACAACATATATGCCCGCACGATTGCGTCCAACACTGCCGACAACCGTTCGCGGGTGCTGAACCTTCTAGATCGGCGCAAAGAGACAAGCACGAGCGCAGTTGTCCGCAGGGTTGGAAGGCTGTCGACACGCAACCGAGCCGAAGTAGAGGCTGGCGCAGTTCACCCTGCTGGTCCGTAATCGTCAACGTTTGCCCGTCGTCTCGGACACAAAGCTCGAACATACGGCCCGATAACAGCTGACTGCGGGCGCCAAACACAACAGGAGCAACAACTGTGCGCCGGGAGTAAGCACAAAAAATTAAAAAGTAACCGTTTTATCCCTGTCGTTGAACCAGTTGGAGCTCCTTTTTTTCTTTTTTTATCTTTCCTCTTCCCGGCGTCACGGCAACGGTGGATGCGAAGGGAAACTTGAGCGCGAGTTGTTGTAGATGAGCCACCGCCACCGCCAAGCAAGCACTCGCCCGGCTTTCGTGAAACGCATCAACTCGTTCGTAAACGACGAAAGCTTTTTATATGCAACTTGCTTTTCTTTGCCCCTTCCCAAAGTGATCGCGAAACCGAACAGTCAATAAATAAAAGACTTGTTTATATTTCGCTTGAGGTCGTCTTTGCTTGACCTAGAAAACTCGGGACGGTATGTGTTTCTTTTGATTTTGATTGTTGTTTTTTGTGCGCACCGCTTGCTTGCTGCTTGAGAGAAGCGACATGGCGCCGGCCGACGACATGTTTGATGCCACGGACGAGAGCGCAAGCGTTTTTGTCCGAGCCGTGGCATCGGCCAGATCGAGACGGCAACGTGCGTGAAACACGCTCGAGAGTAGGGGCGTTAACGCTGAGGATCGGTGGCAAGTATGAGGCCCGGATTAGGCTTACATCGCGTGCAGGGGCGAAATATGCAAGAGCAGCATCGCCGAGGCGTCATGCCCGCTGGCTCCGGCAGTGGATCAAAAGCACGCGAGAACGATGGGTCCCCATGTTACGTACCATCGCGGACTCGTTGTGGTTCCCGTGCCGACGACTCCGGGGTCCCGACGGGCGGGTTACCGACGCAAAAGCGGCTTCGAACTAGGAATTATACCGAAATATTCCCGCTTTTCGGCGCTCAGCTGCTCCAAGCATCGGATCCCTCGCATCAACAACATGTCACCATGGCCTTACACGGGATTGGGCCGATTGGGCCCGGTCTGTCACGTGACGAGGCACCGGCACTCATTTGGGAACTTGAACAAAGCTTGAACTTGTAATTAGTTTCACTTTGTGTTCAATAGCAATTGAACTTAGATTCCTATTCCAATTAAAAACGATTACTTCAAACTCTTGCATGTTACATTTTATCAAAAAGATGTCGCCGGTGCAGCATTTGCGTCGCGACCAATCACAAGGCTGAAAACAAGTAAGCCCCTTTGTTTACTATGCTTTTCTAACACTCGGGCTAAGAGTTATAACTCTTACTAAACGAAAAATAAACTTCAACACTATTGAAGCTACAGAAGTAACCAACCTCGTTGTTTCGATCAAACGCAAAAACAAATGGCTTGACTCCCTTTTGCCCTTTTCGTCTTTTGGGGTCATTTTGGGGTACGTTGACGTGCCATGAACGCTATTTTTCTACAAAAACTAGATGGCGCGAGTCACCATTTAATTAATTAGGGTCATTAGGGTCTGGTAACGAGCGTTTCGCCGCAGTAAGGTTGCAACGCCTATTGGCTGAGAGAAAAAGCAAAAACAAGCAAAACAGCACAAACAGGAAGTGACGAAAATTTTTGTTTTGTTTGTTTTTGCTTCTTTCAATTTTACGTTTTGTTTTTACTTTTCGTTCCTCCAAGTGTTTGTTGGGCGCTTTTCGGAGCTGTCGCGTCGGTTCCATATCAGTGGTTCCAGCGGTCTTTCTTGTATTATACATTGTCGTGTTATGTGCCGCGGTATTGCTGAGTGGAGTTGGTCGTGACATTCAATGCTTGGGAACGAGCGTCGGCAGTGAAGTCCACAGCGCATTCAGCGCATTCATGCAAGCCAGCAACAGGCCCCGTATCACCACATGGAGGCCCGTGGGACGCTTGTTCGGAAAGTAAAAGGTGAGTGGAATTTACCTACTGGTGGCGTTCGATCGTCGATTCGACACCGCTGTGGTGGAATTTGATAGCGCTTGGCTACCTCACGCAGCGTCGGGGACAAAGAAGATAATCAACGGGAGTGGCATGTGGTTCCCAAGTGCCGCCTGCGCCGCATTTGCATGTTGGGAATGTCAGCTTTTGACGAGCTCGTGCAGTCACAAAAGCGTTCTGTCGAAAGACGGGATTTACAAACAGATCAGGCTTCGCGAATGGCCCTCACGGCGCGTTGAATTTGTGGCGGGTAAATATGTTGCTGTTCGTCCTGGTAGGCCTGCGATGGTGTTTTCTGCACAAATACTGTATTCTGCCTCGTGGTACATTCACACCTGCAGCAGAACTGCTAAGCGATTCTGCTACGGTTTAATGGCGAAGAGTTGTGCTCTTCCATAGTGTGCATGTTAAAGTGACAACAAATAAGTGCCTCTCTGTTCTACTTCTCCTTTGGTATTCAACTGGTTGTATTTTCTACTACATTTTGTTCAGAAAGCCACTGCGAGACAGGTATTATTGATGTATACTATCCAAAATAATGCTTGAGCATGAGACGAGGTAACAGAAATACTTCTATATGTACCTGCTTTTTGTGTTTTTGCAAGACAAGGTAACAGAAATACTTCTTTATGTGCCTGCTTTTTATGTTTTTGCAATTCACCGGCTAGACCACTCTTCTCATGGTTATTGTTTTGTTGGGTGCAAAATTTTCCACCCCAGGTGTCCGATGCTTGCGGCTGATGACTTCTACCTACGTGCAGCAAACAGCGGGCCTGCACCTTCGCCGAGACAGCAGTAAAACAGTTCTGGGTAACTGCAGCGACTGGGTCACCGATGCCGTTCCACTTTCTGCACTGCACTTTGCGTGGGTCAAAGGGCCAGCGCATGCCTTTTATGCGTTGTCGCCAGCCATAGTGAGTATGGCTTGGAGTTACGTCATGCGAGTGAAATGCTTGTCACCCGAGTGACGTCAGTGGGTGGGGGTAGAGTTCCTGTATAGGCTCCCTGCGGGAGCCAGAGTTGCACATTTGTTTTCCCCGTGTCGCCACGCCGCTATTCGCCGAGATCCATCACGTGAGGAGCAAAGCATCCGGTGGCGTGCAAGAAAGCCACCTTTACGGTCGCTCCGCCGACGTTTCTCTTGCCCCGGCGTATGTTTCCCTGCTTTCGGCCTCCTTTTCCTCCTCTCCTGTTTTCCATGCGCGGCGCTGCTATTCGCCAAATTTAGTCACGTGAGGAGCAAAGGATCCAGCTCGTGCGGGAAAGCCGGCGTTACGGCCACGCGCCGAGGCTGAATGCGCAACTCTGCTACCGTAGGTAGCTATACAGGAACTCTAGGTGGGGGGGGGGGGGGGGGTGGCGCCGCCGCCGCCGCCGTTGGTGGGGCTATGACCGGTGGTTTGCGATCGCAGACCACCAAGCACCATTGCACTGTTCCTGGGTGAACTAGCCGCTCTTGAGGAAGAACAGGGTGCTTTGGGAAGAGCTATGCTGTCCGCTTTTTCACTAGCTCCAGCTGTCGCCACAGGCATTTTGTCGAAAGGAGCAACATCTATGAATGAGTAGACAACGCTGAATGGTGGCAAGGGGCCTCGCCTCTGACCAAGGGGGTCAAGATAGTCCCGTTTCAACAGAGGACCTCTTGGGGTATTGTACAACACAGGAAATAAAGGGCCCGAAAGTTTTCTACCCCGACGAGGTGTGGGTTATGGCAGAACCAATTTTCTCAAAGGTGCGAGTAGACACAAATGCGGCTTTGTTCCGTGGACACCTTCATGTGTGGTGGCACGAGGCAGTCATTGCTTAACCTTGCTTAAAGATCAACGACTGGACTGGTCAAGGGTGGCGTGCCTGAGAGTGGGACAGTAGACGGCTGTTATATACCAACTTTAGACTTCATTCACCCCTTAACTGACAGGGCACTGGAGGCTACATGCTCGGTGAACCAGCCGATTGTCAGTCTTGCATCACTTATCATGCCCCTTTCTCATACAGATGGGCAGGTCGGACATGAGGCAATAAAAGCTTGGCCCACCAACCACATGGCTCCTACCGCCCTGTCAACGTAGGGGTGAACGGAGCGTAGGGGCGGCAGAGTTGGTGGCGTCTGCTGAGTGCTCCTGGCATAGCAGCTCGGCAGTGGCGATTTACTAAAGCACAAAATGCAATACCGCACTTTACTCTGAATGCTGAGAGCCATCGGAGCCAATCCAGTGCCGAAGGTGTGTCACGTGGCCTGTCCGTTGGGTGCAACGGCACGTGGAGCACAGTGTCATCTGGCAGCGACAAAGAGTTGGATTGGCTGCGGTGGCTCGTATCGTCGGCTGCGGTAAAACACAAGGTGAAACGGAGTAGAATGTGATGGCGTGTCGCATCACAGAAGGTGAGCAGAGTAAACAGATAAAAGTGATTTTTAGAGCGCATCACCGGTGCCCCAGGGCGGGCGAGAAGGAATCTCTTCGCCCATCGATATATTGACCGGGGGGAGGGGCCTCTGGGGACTGGGCGGTGCCGAGAACAGGCAAGTGTGTGCGACCGGATCTCGGGTAATCGTGGGAGACGAGGCCTGGGGGCCCTCCTAGTGTTTAGCTTTGGCTTTACGTGCGAATATCAATGTAATGTCGCATGTCTTTGCAGTTTAGATTGAGTGTTTTTGAGCGTTGTGTTTTAGGAACAAATAAAAGGGAGCGGAATACCCGCTCCCGTGAAAGAACCAGGCTGGACTCTGGTTGTTTGACGGACCACATGGGATCTGGCGTATCGGCGGTAGTATGCGATTTCCTACGATGTGTCCTTTAAGTTTCATATATTTTGGTCTTGCATTTTAACCACTATTGTATAACTTGCTCACACCATTGTTTAACATGTTTGTTTCCTATGGTTGCATTTACAATTGCACTGTGTAAGGCCCCTGGCTCCGAGGGTAAAATAAAGGAATAGAAACAAGCCTATTCTGTAAGCTGCCAAATTCAATTACGATCTCCTCTTTCTGGATATGTACTGTATGCCGAGGGCAAGTTCGTCTGCTTTTTGCGCAGGGGGTTGCGGTGACGTCAGAACGCCGAGCCCTGATTGGCTGATCGCGACCCCCTATCTGAGCGTCGTCTGCTCGCAACGTCGTCTGTGGCTGTCTTACCTTTCCTGCGACTTTCGGAAGTGCAGAGGCCAGATTCACATAACGATCTTACGCCAAAAATGTGCGTAAGACAAAACTTAAGAACAAATTCGTGTTCACGAAACGAAATTTTCGTAAGTTTTGCGCAGGTTACGACGGAATCCTATGGCAGCTCCGAAGCTGTCTTACGCACTTCTTACGATCAAATCAGCATGGCCGACAGCGTCGCGGTCGCGAAGACGCACAGACGTTTATTTTTCTATGTGCGCTTCTGACGCCTCCCGACTTCAAGCAGCAAGAAAAAAGTAAAAAGTACTTGAAACAGACCACGACGAACAAGAACGCTGGATCCACAAACATCCGGGAAAAGCTCCAACGGCCACGATTCCACCGAACGCGACCAAACGAGCTGGGCAGTTAGGCCTAGTAGGCACTCCGCGACTCGGCGACCATCTGCCCACGACCGGCTGGTGTGCTGAATGGAATATGCCCGCGTGACTTTTGTGAACCCTTCCCGTATTATACTTTGATTGCTGACCTCAATTTTAGATTAAGAGGTCAATTTCTTCCTCTTATCTCCTTGTTTCCCGGGGCAACGGTGACTCGCCGGTAAAAAAGCGGCGAATCTCCGACAGATGCAGGAAAGGTAAAGCAGCCATCGCTTGGACTAGCAGATGTAAAGCAGACGACGTTAACTGCGCCAACCCACCGACGCCGTTAAAGAGTGAGGGGACTCGCCGCACACGAAAGGAGGGAAAAAGGGAGGGAACTTGCGGACACTGACACGCTTACCCTCTTGGTTCTTAGGAAACAAACGTCGGCCCCTCGGGACACCTCGCCAGTGAGTCCTTTGACTTCCCTCCTTGATGCGCATCCGCTAGTTGTTAGACAAAAACAACGTACCGCTCGAGTTATTTCGCCTGCCCTCTCTTATAGGCGAAGTCGAGTTCGCTCCGAAAGTCGCAGAAAAGGTAAGACAGACGCAGACGATGTTGCGAGCAGACGACATTGCAAAGGAGCAGACGACGCTCAGATAGGGGGTCGCGATCAGCCAATCGGGGCTCGGCGTTCTGATGTCACCGCTACTTCCTTTCTCATGCGCAGAAGACGAAAGTGAGCCCACCTGTGAGGCATA